CATCATAATTAACAAAGTATTTGTGGAGGAAGATGATTCATCATACAAAAGAAGATAAACGAACTGAGGAAAGAGCAACTCCTTTCAACACTCATTCTTGACTTGGTAAAGATGTCGGGCACATTCCTTCGAATAAATTCCTCTTCCAGAAAAGTGAGAACATAGCCATTTTTTCATCCGTCTATCAGTGGGTATACTGAAAAGTATGTCTAATAATCGTAAAGTATTGGCGTAGATTCAAAGGTATCATTTAGTTTAGAAATGTGACTGCAACCGATTTTTAAGTTTAATTTCGGATAACAAGAGACACCATCAACGACGTTCTACAATAACCTACTTGCAAATAAATCCAAACTTGCTGAACGAAACATTTTTCAAATCTTTGGTCTTTCTTTCTGAGTAATTCTTTTATTTACTTTTCCTTGTCTGATGCAAGAGCGTACTGTCTCTGAGCTAGCCACATACCTAAGATAGAACACGAATAATACATTGATAATAGCTAATAAACCTGGCACATTCACGAGTAATATATGTCCACTTATCAATAATGAAAACAGTGTCTGAATGCCTATTTGAACGAGTTAGGATTTGGACTACGTTTAAGTGACATGGTGATGAACGAGAGTTACAGTTAAACAAATCGAAATCGCAACGTATACCTGGAATAGAACCAATGTAGGCAGAAACCTCCAACTGGATGACTTTGGCAATCAAAATAGATAGTGTAAATAATGAACACCTCAGAGACCCGTAAATGTTGGTAACATAGGCCGATTGTGTTGTATCTAATGTTTTATTTTTCCAAGTCAACCAAGTCTACGACTTATGCATGTTACATTGAACTAGTTTCACTTCCTACCAGGAAACCCTACTGCAAGCAGATCTAGAAAGTGATGGTAAATAAGAGCTCACTCATGACTTCTTGAGCTACAGCGTAATCATGCTGCAATACTATTATTAATGTCCTTTAATATATGTTATGCTTGCGACAAGGTTTTGAAATAGTGGATAGCTATAATATAATACACACCGAGGTGCAGGTCATTGCATTTTCATTTGTTTCCTTCCCTTAACCATAGGTTGCTCGCTTTATGTGCAAGATTTTAGATTTTATTTGAAATAGACAGGTTACTCTATTCACTGGGTCGATCGGCACTGTTCAACTGTAAACTGGTTGATTAGAATGCACTCTACTCTCCTGGGCGCAACCTTATCAACACTTACAAATGTGTGAGTTCCACATTGCCTATTATCAATTATACTGTTCTCACTTACACGCTATTGACTTACCTTGACCCCTTAGTGTTATCTATTGCTCAACTTTTAACCGCGATACTCTTTATATCTCCTGCTTAGCTAGTTAAGTACATCTTCCCCACTACATTCTAAATGCTTATATCTTGTTTGAAAATTCTTACTATTTCTCCATAACTGTTAACTGTATAGCATTGATGCCTAACCAATAGTTCATAAGTTGTAACAGCCAGACAAGTTTGTGAAAGGAACTTGCAGAAATAGTGTTTCTCAACAGGATGCGAGAAATAGAACAATAAGTAGAACTCAATAGCTTCTTTTAAACATTTAACATGAGCCTAACAACACAAAAGGAGGGAGGGTGGAGTTACTGACCAGCAAACATTGATGGTGTGGGCGATAACTTCAAACCACCCATGTTTGTGGAGCAGAACATTTTGTTTGCTTTCGGCTCTTTAGATTGATGAGACGACTAGTCAGTAACACTGAGGTTGCTCTTATACGCTTGCTACTTCTGTGGTTCATGTTTCCAAAACTATGCTGAGATCGCTATTCTGTCGAGACACCCACAACATTCTTACTCAGGCGCTTACTTAGAGGTTGGCATTCAATAATAATAATAATAATAATAATAATAATAAACAGTCAGACAGTGCGAGATTCTATTCATCAAAGTTTTCTTTTTACAAACTTTACTCTTTCGATTTCAACGTACATAAATCCAGCTTCTTACTTCGACTTCTCTTCTATCCACCTGACACTGCACAACTCTTCCTTCTTTTTGCTGTACTCCTTTATCTGTGTGTTATATTCTTATATTCCCATAATTCAATTTAATTTAAGTGGTCAGTATGAATTGTATCTTGACTTACTACTGTATCGACTACTTCAGCATGACAGGTTAAGTAGTGCTTTGGTTATATAAATACACTTGCCACACTGCTGCCTTTTTCTCTCTCTCTTCTCCTTTTCAGAACCCTTTTCACGGTGGAAAATCCTTGGCGACTCTAGGGAACATGCACCCTATGTCCATGACTGTCTGGATCACAGCTCGTATCAAGCGCGTTCCATATGACCTTTCCCAACAAATTCACCATTGATCTCGACAAATCGCCAAAAGAACCTATTGTGCTCCTTCCTTCCTTATTTGTACTCTACTATTGAAAATGTGGCTGTATAATACTGTTTCTGCCAGTGACATGGTGTAAATATGCAATCAGAAACCGACTCTTTTACTTAATTTAACTGCTAGAACTTTTCAGTAATTGTGAAAGCATTTAAGACGATTTGATCTAGCCTGTAAATTGGTGTGACTCTTGTAACGTAGTTATTTGAGAATAAATATATATTATTATTATTATTATTACTAAAACTAGGTATTTAGTGGGCGCGGGTGCCCAAGTTTCGGTCTTAACGTCCGGCTGCAGCAAGTCTCAAGCCACAACGCTTCAACTACATGCTGCGAATGTCTCTGTTATCCCTACCCACGGTACATGAAGACTAACGGTCAACCTGAATAATTGACGACACTATCTGTGGACGTTCATTCCTTCTGGTGTTTCCATAGCCGTACTCGGTTGCGATTCCCTAAAGCACTTTAAATTGCTATTCGGTTCGTGCAGGTTGCAGCAAATCTATACTACACTGAGTATTAAATTAATGGATCTCAAAGCTCAAACAGGTGTGTGTCGAATCACTGATGTATTTCTTTGTATGATTATTTATTTCATGTCATATTTGATAAATTCCTAAAAGTAACGAAACCGAGGAGATTCTGACGGTGATTATTCGGTAAGTAAACCGCAGCGACAGCCTAACGAAGGCTCTTTTGACGTGATTTTTGGTCACCAAAAGATCCTCAAGGTTAATCGACACGGCGAGGTCCAGAAAGCCTCAAACCAGCACACGTCGATGGCAGAGCCCTACCCTATAAGTTAGGATTAAATGCTAGACCCGTCCAACTCACTAACGGGATCCCTATGTCTCATTTGGAAACCTCGGCAGGTACTCCAGACAACTCATTCTCATGTCCCAGTTAACTGCACGCACCATTTGAGGATTATTATTATTATTATTATCATTATATACCGATGGGATTTCATTCTCACGTCCAGATCAGCAGACCACGCCAACCTTGACTTCTGACGAGATTGAAGTCCCAAACTCTTAAACACGAGGTACGAACGAGACTTGCGTCTAACGTTCAAGATGCGAGGTACATTTATCTACACACCTTCATGACTAGCCTCAGTAAGCAACGTAAGGGGTTTAGGATGATAACCCTTACTATATGCTTGCTACCTCTTGTTTCCTTTTCTTTGCCTTTTTTATAACAGGAGCCTATGTCTAGGATCTTCGCCCTGCTGGTACAGTCGACTGCAGTCAATCTCCACTACAGCTGGCTTGATCACCCATGTTCTTCTCAATGCACTCAGTTGATGTTCTGGTTCCGACTAGATTTGATCCCAAACTTGGTTATTATTGTCGCTTCTGGTTTCTCAGCTCAATATGGTTTCGTCCTACGTCTGCAGCGTTTTCTGATCGAACACTATGTTCAGATTCTGGATACAAACCACTATGGTGTGGCACGCCAACTCCAGCTTACTTCCTACAATCTCACGTTTTACCGATCAGTCCAATGAACGAAGCCGCTACGTACTGAAAGTGTATTGTTTGGTATTTTTCCGATACCACGAAATCGCCAGTAAATATATTCTCCCGTATGGATCAACTATTTTCTCAGTTACGGGAACGTAATTGGGCTGTAGTGGTGACCTTAGTCAATCTCAACTCGACACGCTGCAAGACCGAATAGAAGGACAATCTACAACTATGTTTCGCTGCCAGTAGGTAGAGGTTACGGTCGATCGCGACTAATAAAATAATCGGTGAATTGGGTATTGCATCAATGACAAATCTTAAAGAGCATGCTGCCGATCGTAATGCACAAATGTCCATAGTTATATAGAAAGATGCCATGGTTGCTTAAGATTCAACATCGATTTTTTCTGCAACTTTTTTAAGACTGACAATTTTAAGCCCGTCAGACCAGAAATAGGGAAAGAAAAAATAGAAGATAAATTTAGTGGATGATTGGCATGTCCATTTGTATGGTCTGGCCTGACTAGTTGTTGCGAGTAACGAGTGGCACGGTGTGTCTTATCTTGGTCTGATGCATGACGGGGCACCTTCAGCATTAACATTGAAAACTTACAGAACTATTTGCATGCATTTTGATATAATTCTGTTAGTATTCATACCAGGATGGAAAGATTTGGGCGGAATCAAGGGTTAACGGTAAGATAATAACCCGGTCGCTGATGATATCGTAAGCTAAACAGGACCGTGTTCGTATTTCAGTGTTAATCCATTTCATGACGTCAAAACAAACGGACAGTGAGCTTGACAATAGTTGTAAAACATGAATAAGATAGTTCATGCAACAGAGCCATGACGAAACTGACAGATCGCTTTAAGGCTATGTAGCTGCATTAACTTGAGGATGTATGAATGACTCCTTTATTTGATTGCTAACTGGAATTTTATACGATACCATTTACTGAAACTGAAGGAGCAATAAAGAATGAGGCATATCTATGCTTAGTTTTAGTAGAAGCACTATGAAAGTGAATTTCGAATTTCACTATAATTTAGAAACCCAGTAGATCTTCTTATTTGCTTATATAAATATTTTTCAGAATTGACTATCACTTTGTTTATCTACATCACTGCCTGAAGCTTTCATATTCTCGATCGTCTTTGTGATCAGCTGATAAGATTGTAAGGTTTTCTTCAGTCGAGAGACCTTCAGTATAGGAAATAGGTCAGTTCAATAGCTAAATGAATTCTCAAAACTACCAAAGTGTAATCCGATTGAAATAGCTACATACGCAAACATTTTAAGCTCATTTCGGTACTAGTTATAACTCAGCCTTAAAATGACTCGGGTTCAACCTATTGGTCGTCCATGTAGCCTCAGTTAATACGTCTAACGAACTCCATCACCACTTTCCTGCTTGGTTATTCTAGTTTCGGTAACCTGGGTTCTACTATTGTATTGGAGCTTATCATGGTGAGATAAGTTGGCTTTCATAAGTTGGCGTCAGAACTTCGTATTTTGGACGTTTTTGTGGCTAATCTATCGTTTCCATGGTCAGCCAAATGTACTGATGAACAATGTGGAATGACTTTTTTCACTTAACTTGGCCAAGATATCAAATATTTGTATTCTTGCAGCACCGAGCAGACGCTCTCCGGGACATATGCTGAGTACAATCATGACACACAAAGAGCTTTGGGCTTTTATTATCGATATCGGTTATAAAAATCTCTTTCTTGGTAATCTATATGTTATACTCATATTAAAACTCGAATTTGTCTCGAGAAAAAATAGCTTGTTCTCATAAGTTTTTTATCTTCTGTTTAATTGACTTTTCCATTGGTATGCTTTCATAAACCCCATTGACTTGGCAAAGAGGTAATTATAGTTCTGCATCAATTACTTAGTTCCTAATGGAACTCTCTGCTCGTCTAATAGACCCCACACCCGTACAAGGTGCAAAAATAAATATGAAGATAAGGGTTTCTACTGAGATAGCTTCCAGTAAGGAATGATTCAATTAAGTGATGTAGCTACGCAAACTCCACTTCAGTCTCGATAGTCCGCACTGGTTTCGAATTCCTTACGCATAATCCTACAGAATTAAGAACCTTGTTTATTTCATTGATGAAAAGAACAGTAGTTCAGTACGTCGAAACAAATGAAGGTTAGGTATCTGAAACAGTAAAGCCGTTTCACAAAGTTTAATAGTGTGGTAGAGTTCCGTGCAAGAAATCTAAGTGAGAATGATTTTCATATTTATTCTCAAAACCACGATTGTTTTTGGTTTTCTGTGTAGTGTTCTTTGTAAGCGAAAATTTGGTGTAAATATTTGGCGTCGTATGGTTGGATATTCCTAACACACCTTACTGTAGTTTTAGTTATCAAAGTAAAACTTGTCCTCATTTACGAACGCAAGTAACTGTGATGCTAAGGTCTTCTATTAAGTTTACTGATACTACTTATTGAGTATGCAGTTATAGATGGTACTTAATTCATTTTTAAATCTCAGACCCAAAGGTCATGACTGTAATACTTCTTTCTATTTATAAATAGTCTTACTTTAGTTTTTCTGTTATAGATTGAGAGTATCTTACTTGGCATGAGCGGACTACAGGGTGTTTCTTATGGCTGGTAAACGAAGAAGGTCACATAAGTCCTCTAAGGTTTCAGATCCTGAGTCCGTAAACAAACGGTAAGGAACTTCTTGGAATGTAATCCTACTAAATTTTTTTAGATTTATCGGCAACAGTTCATTGCACAACAGTTCTGTAAGTATTTAAATTTATACACTTCTGATTTGTATTTTACCACTGATCTATAATCTAGGTCCTGTAGGTTCGTAGGTATGCATTCTGATCAAGATTAAAATAGTACTAGCCTGAGGTTTGGCTTATTGAGTTTCTAGATTGGTTTTTCACTAGCTCCGAGTTTTTTTAAAGATCATCTATTAAATGTGCATCAGATACCTAGTATGCATTATATATACTTGTTTTCATATACTCTACAATTAACGAAGACAAACTATGATGAAGAGTAGGGAAACGGCAATCTAAAATAAACGCAATATGAATTACTAAAGATGTTCAGTTTAAGTAAGAAAATAGGTGCCAACTCAAACGTTCATTTAGCCGTCGGTAATCATTTTAGTACTTGGCAAAGGCGTGCGATGATCCAAATTGCCATGCAAAAATAATATCTAGTTAGTATTAATGGGGAGTATAGTAAAATGATACTATTGAATCTCCACTGACTTGTACTCCGAACTGAATCCAACGATGTACACTCACTGATTGATGATGATCCCATCTTAGTATTTGCAGTGCAATGCGTGCTGACCCAACAGTTATCCTTTGCCTTTCCTATAGAGTTCGCGTCGTAAGATATCTCCCAGTATGGCTTTCATCTAGATGACATTTAAAGTATCATAAAGCTATCGAATTTGGTATATCAAGCTAGCGACACTGAAAACTACCGATTCCATCAGACCTGGATATGCATTAATAGACCTGAACATTGACGAGCGATTGTTCAGGAGTAGTTATGATCGAACTAAAATTGCCTTCAAACATATCGTAGAATAGCCTTTCTCGATAAACAGCTATTCACACCTTGTTTTCTTTTACACCCAATCTGTTGTGGCTCGACTGAAGTCACGATAACACTCCACCAAAGATAAGTGCAGACAGATTGCTGTCTGTTTGTATCACTAGACTTTACACACCATGTCTGTCACAAACGCTAGTATATAGACCTGTATTTTGTGAGTTATATCAAATAGCATCCAAATTGATCAACTAGTCGATCGTTTAGTTTGTTGGAACACTCTCAGTCAAAACGTCTTTCAAAGTGCTCTTATCAGCCTTCTTGGTTTCTTTAAGGCCTGATGGTTTGAGCTATCTCATTCTCAGATATTGTGAAGTGATGTATTGAGTTTTATTGTTACGTAAATGTTTTTATACGGTAGCTAATAGCAATCCGATAAGTCTGAAATTCAGTTAGTCAACAACAATAACATAGAACTTCGTACGTACACACGTATATCAGTTCAAGTTGCCATACCACATTAGCACAGAGATGTAATTGTCAATTCAAATTCTATAGTAGTAGAGGTACTAAAGGTATTAGCAATAATCAGAGAGTAGGGTTTGAAGATATTATTCAAAGAAGTAGAGTCTAGTGAAATACACTTAGAAAGAAAAAGATAAAATGATAATGAGTTCAGAAGGTTAGGATTTGAGAGAAAACAGAATGAATGCACCTGCGCTTTTGCAAACGGTTTTGAGCCATGTCATTCAGGGTCTCTAACCATCGATTACTATCATCCTGCGGACCCCAACCAGGTAGTCGACACCTACCGACATGACTCAGTCCACATGTCAGTGACTTTATGGATTTCTGCCATGTTTTGGTCCGGCCGCCCCTAACTTTCTTCCAACCTATTCGTACATCGCCAAAGATAGCTCGATGAGGCAGTCGGTGGTTAGGCATACACGTAACACATGTCCCAACCACCTCAACTGATGAAGTTTCAATACTTAATCTATTGATCTGCCATCCTTATTTAGTACTCTTTTCCTAACGACTGACATGTGGACTTAGTCATGTCGGTAGGTGTCGACTACCTGGTTGGGGTCCGCAGGATGATAGTAATCGATGGTTAGAGACCCTGAATGACATGGCTCAAAACCGTTTGCAAAAGCGCAGGTGCATTCATTCTGTTTTCTCTCAAATCCTAATCTTCTGGATTCGTCAGCACATCTACCTTTGTCTTTCTGACCTTATCTCACTGAATTATACTTCTTGAATAATATCTTCAAACCCTAGTCTTCTTCATTACCATTAATACCTTTACTATCTGTATTACTGTGGAATTCGATTTGACATTTGCGTCTCTGTGCTAATGTGATATGGCAACCTGAACTTATGTACATACGTACGAAGTTCTACGTTGTAACTGACTGACTTTGCACTTATACACCTTGCCATGATCATGAAGCCTCTCCCAGTAAGTTGCCTTTCTGAGCTGTTGCAGTGTAGCGACTCATTTACGCGAGGTTCCACGTGATATTGTTTGCCTGTTTCCTATCTGGTCAATTACTATCGTCATCGTTTCATTATGTGGTTCTGTTGAAACTGAGTGCCGTGGTAGATTACTTACTAGACTATACCAACGAGGAAAACATTGAACCGCGAAATTGTGGTGGTACACATATTTCAATATCAGTTACTGCTTTTTACTGCCACAAGCTCCTTAAATGAACGATATCATGAGAATCTATTGTATCTTAACCCTATGGTGATGTGGATTCTCATTGAATCTGTCCTAAGTAGGCTAATAAAGTATAGTCTAATTTTCAAGTTTGGTTTGTCATAATTAAACACTTTGAATTTGATAAATACGATTAGTAACCTGTACATTTAGCACTTCTTTAAGATACTGTTTTCTGAACTGTTTTAATTCTTGCTTATAGTGCTCCGAAAATTCAGGTATTTCAACCTGTTTTCTTCATAGTCAGAGCCCTCCAGTTCTACGTGCTTCTGAGCTATCTGAAGACATCAGTACAGCTGCCTCCAAAGTGACTAAGACACAAGACCCAGTTTTAGACACATCACCCATTTCCGAAACACATCGAACTAAGTATAATTTTGTACAAAGTAGACATACTTCTAGTAAATCGAAAAGATTATCGGAAACTACTAATTGTCACTCAACTTTACACACTTGTACTCTCCAAGAAAGTTCGAGATCTGAACAGACAAAGAATTCGGAAAATAATACAACTCAGTTAAGTTGTCAGTCGAGTGCCCGAATCGGACGAAGAACCACTAAAAGAAGTTCGAATTTTTCTGAAGACATACCATCTCTTTCCCAAGATAAATTAAAAGCTGCTAAACGCCACCGTCGGTCCAGTTCCAAAACTCGGTAAGTTGGAGTTTATAATGCATTAGTTTTGAGCTGCGTAGTTCAGAACATACTCCCTTTCGCTACCCTGTACTTGTTCTTTCTTGAATACTTAGGCCTTAAGATCATTTCAGGTCATCTTACTCATTCAAGTTCATTTATATTTTGCGAAAACTGAGAGAAACATTATAAATCGATGCAGAATAGTGCAACTTATTGATCAACTTTACACAATATTTTTAGCCATTAATTATGACTGTTGTACAGATTCTAATCAATAAATCTGCATCCCACACAGCTCAGATTTCATGAAACGATGGTGTATCTTGGTTTGGCGCATTGCTCACTGCTTATACGATTTGCTTAGTCAACTCCTAAATTAAAAGTACAGCTTTTATATGAAGCAACTGACAGCTATAATATCAGGAAGTCTTGATCTCACTTCTGACTACTAACTGATTTTTTATTCCTTCACTTCACAGATCAGGAACTTTATTGGTAGCATTTAGTTATCTGTTGTTTCTGTACAGCTTTGTGTGGAGCAGTGGCCTAGTGGTTAAGGTGTTTTCATTTTGGTCACTAATTCCTACCCCGTTTCACCTACTTCATTTCGTGTGAAGTGTCTCATACTCAAGTACACATGTTAAATGAATCATATGTTATTGATATTTTAGGTGCGCATTTGCGGACTCACTTTTTTTACTCAAGTCTTGTCCTTATCAGTAATTGATGGAACTGATACCACGTGGTTAAATGAACTATATGCAGTTACAATTTTAAAAAATGCTCGAAATATTTTGCCACCAGATTAATAACTTTCCACATCATTCCAGTTACTCAACTTAATTTCTCACGTTTGAAGAATGTTGTATGACGATGCATTTATTTAGTGGTTATATTCTTTCGTTATTTATTGAATAATAAGAATAGTGGTGAATATAGTTTTATAGTTTACTTTGATAAGATATCTTTGTACTGATTAGTTTTGAGTGAAATCATTGTGTTAATTGCACTCACTTCAGTCAGTCATCCACAGCGGATAACTTCGTACTTATGTACATTCAAGTTGCCATACCACATTAGCACGGAGAGCGAATTGTCAATTCAAATCCCATAGTAGTACATGTAGAAGCAGTATTAGTGGTAATCGAAAAAATTAGGGATTGAAGACATGATTCAAGAAGTATAATCCAGTGAAAGAAATTTAAAAGGAGAAAAAACGGTCATGAGGAATTCAGATTAGAATATGAGAGACGACAAAGAATGGCTGTACATACGCAATTGCCAGCGATTTTTTGCCGTGTCAATCAAAGTCTCTAACCATCGGTTACTATAGTCTCGCAGACTCCGACCAGGTAGTCTACCCCTACCAACATGGCTCAGTTCAGTCGTCAATGAATTCATGGATTTGTGCCATGTCTCGGTTCGGCCGCCCCTAGTTTTCTTCCAACCTAGTCCTAAACTACGAAACGTAACTCATCTGGGCATTCGGTGGTTGAGCATTCGTAACAAATGTCCCAACCACCTCAACTGATGAAGTTTCAGTGCTTCATCTATTGATCTGCCATCCTTACCTAACACCCGTTTCCTAACAACAGCATTGCTTACTCCATAGTTCCAGGATATACGAGCAATGCCTCGGAGACACATATGATTGAGAACCAGTAACCTACGAATATCCTTTACTCTTACTCGCCGATGCCATAAGTAACGCAAGTTGTCACTTCATATTTTCATTAAGTAGGTCTTTGTTTCAGTGATAGAAACTCTAGTTGTTGCTTATCTGTTGTCCTCTTTGTTTTCTATATGATTTTTATGACTGCTAGACAAATAGGAGCCTACCATAGTAGTTCGTCGCACTCAAAGTCATCTGATCGTAAACGGCATTTATTTGTTTCTTCGGGAACTGTTCATATATCTCAACATTCCCCACATATCGCCACGGGTCTATTTATGAGCAAAAGATCGTAAGTTTATTGCTGTTATTTTTTTCTTAACGTGCCTCTGTAAACGCTTCTTTAGCACAAAGATGTTTTTCGAAAAAAACACTTCATGAATTGTATCGTTAACTTTACTGTGTTTAATTTTTTTGTGGTTATTGAAATTTCCTTCGAAGTTCGTGATTGATTGGAATATCCTGATTATCCTTACAATCCATTTGAAACTAATCCCTCCAGATGATCTAGCACAACTAATGGTTGTCTTCTTGAACACTCAATACATCATTGATTTGTACCCTTGATGCATTCTTTCACCAATTACTTAAACCTGTCACCCCGAATAGAACATAGGCTGCCGACCAGCATTCTCTAACGTACTCTGTTCTGTACCTTCCTTTCTAGTTCTACCCAGTTGTTGTTCATTCTTCTCATGCCTGTCTCCAATTGTCGGCGTAATGTGATCGTTGGTCTTCCTCTTTTCTTTCTGCCTTGAGGATTCCAAGTGAGAGCTTGTTCTGTGAAACAGTTGGTTACTTTCCTCAATATGTTCTGTCCATCTCCAGTGCTTCGCGATTTCCTCCTTTTCTGGGGTCTGGTTTGTTCTCCCCCATAGTAGGTTGTTGCTGATAGTAACTGGCCAACTGATCCGAAATATTTTTCGCAGACAACTGTCAATAAAGACTTGTATCTTGTGGATGGTAGCTTTCATGGTTCTCTAAGTTTCCGCTCCGTACAATAAGACTGTCTTGACATTTGTGTAGAAAATTGTAACTTCGGTCTTGGTTGAGAGTTGTTTTGAGTTCCAGTTCTTATTCAGTTGTACAAATGCTTTCCTTACTTTACCAATCCGTGCTTTCATTTCTGCACCAGATCCACTCATCAATGACGCTGACCAGATATGTAAAGATTTCCATATCTTTCAGTGTTCCCCGTCACGTTATTTGCTTGATGCCTGTTGTGCTGCGTCGGAGAATATTGCTTTTTCCTCTGTGTATGTTGAGACCTACTGCTACTTCACTGGTCATTTTCATCAGCATTTGTTGTGTGTGGGATAAAATGGTTATATCGTGTGTCATGTCCAGATCGTATAGCTGCATCCCAGCTGTTTACTGTAAACCTTGCTTACATTGAGATGTTGAAGAACCCCACCTGTAAACCCTTAGGGGCTACTGCCAGTCCCAAGCCCGGATAAAGGAGGAGGATTGGGGTTGGCGACCCCATTCTGGAAAAAACTAACTTGCCAAAAAACGCTAACAAGAAAAAATAATTCAAACCATTTAAACTCTGCTCTGGGAAAGAGTTATGTCGTCTCGTGACCGCTTCACTTATCTGGGGGAGTCTTGTCAGTGCTGATGGCCTGGTGTGTGATGGGACCTCAGCACGGATACAGTAGGCTCTACCGGCTTTTGTCAAGCTGAGTCACCTATGGCGTAGACGAGATATCCGTTTGCTAACTAAAAGACGAGAGTACTGCATAATAGTTCGCTCAGTCCTACTATATGGCTGTGAAACAGTTCCAAAATTAATCATAATGTCTCGGAAAGGTATGGATGGCTTAAAATCAATGGATAAAGTCTACTACGTAATGTCGATGGTTTTAAATACGTTTTACTTGCAAAATTTACCCAGCTTACAAAAATGTAACATTTTGATGCTTTTTTCACGATAAATGCTAGTTTATTTTTATTTGGAAAGCTTGATATCTTTAGTCTCAGACGAAGAAATGAGTCACATGGTCTCTAATTTGCATACGTTCAGGATAAGTTGGTATATTTACTGAAGTTTCCTATACATAACGGCGAGTCTACATAGTAATGTACACTTTGGAGTAGCTGTTTGGAGGATGTTTTTCTTCATTACGGACTAATATTAGTAAAGAAGCCGTGAAAACTAGCGACTAAGTAGAACAGTTCCTTCATGTAGTCTGAAACTTTGAACATTATGCACAAATAACGTCGTACTGTTCTAACCCAAATTCGTCGCGACAGCCACCTAATGCTTCTGATGGATAACGATTTCGCTCTCGATTTTGTTGAACTCCACGAGTTACGACTTCATATCGAAACATTTTTGTTTCAGACTAATTGATGCAATTCAGTTCTTGATTTTCATACTACTTTATATGTTTATAGAAAAATAAATTTCTGCTGAAGTATCTTTGAAGCAAAGCTGGCTCGTTTAAATATAGAACTGTATTCAACAGTGATATTATAAAGTGACTAGTTTATTCGAGTTTAAAAGCCGCGTCATGGTTATTGATATTTTGCAATCGTACCAACTAATTATTTATCTAATCTCGTACGTTACACATAATATGCAGTCATTCAAAACTCTCTGTATTTCGCTTTTCTGAACACAATGGTTGATATTTCATAGAATGGAAAGTATGAAAAATATTTTTCTTAAAACAGTCTACTAAATTGGAATTAACGTTCTATTGCGGGTTTTCTTGGTTCACATATATCACCACAAAATAAACCGTTTAATATACTAAATAAACTCATCTCTCACATTTACCGTATTTACATTGTCTCAGTTTTCTTTACTAAAATAGAGTTGTGATAGCTTTAAACAGCTGAGAGGTATCTCATTGGTTCAATTTGTTAATCAATAAATCTAACTAATGGTTTGATTGGTTGTTGTCATATGTAATTTATGGCGATAAAACCTTGTCTGTCTTCGCACATTCAATATAAACCAGTCCAGTCCTTTATCATCATAACGACGCAATTTATTCATGTGACTATACATATGTTACTACTACGGATATTATCAATTTGTTATTTTTATAAATTAATACCAGTACAGTAGTTTTAAATATAGCATTGGATTTAACGTCACGATAAGGTTTTCGAAATCATGGGAATAAAAATCTGCACATTGGTAAAGTCAATCCAAAATTTATACTTTAACGATAAGATCAATGGTATTCAGACACTTCTGGCGGTTTTGAGCTCAATACAAACCTATTTAAGGTGATCAAAAAGGTAAAAAAAGTTTACACAATCAGTCTAAATGTAAATGTATTGATAAACACCGCTTCTATATTTAAAATTTCTTAGCATCATTAAACTGTGATATAATTAGTAAGATCATTTAATAATCGATCACTGTTGTACTTAACTACTTTGGGAAAAAACGCAAGTGTAGCTTGAATTACCATATAACCTTTGAGTTGAAACTATCAAAACTTGTTTGTTTAAGAAATAAGATGTTTCTTTTTGAAGGTCACTCGTTTATTCATTGTAAATCCTTACATAGTGGTATTTATTTGTTAGATGTCTGAAATGCATTTGTTGGATTATTTATACTAAATAACTAATGAATAAAATTATTGATATTGATTAGTTAACAAGGTAACTCAGATGGCAGCTTTTAGTTATGGTTTCTAAATTCACAAATACTTCCTGCTGCATAGAATTGAATTGGTTAGTGAGAAAAATAAGTTGATAAATATATGTTTATGATTCTGTCAACTAATTCTGTTGTTTTCTTAAATCAGTTGGTTGATTTGGCATTTAACAGTCTCATCTAGCACAAGTTTTAGTCATACAATTATTATTACGCGATTACTTTGATAATGTGTGGGATGTGAAAATTACCGTACCTTAGTCACTTCTCTTAGGGCGTAACCATAGTCTTAATCCATGTGACTCATCTTGTTTTTTATTTGCTTCTTCTCTATACCTTCTCTATATTTTAAAATTTATCTACAACTAAACCTGACAGTGAATGTTTTTTTATTGATTTATACTAATTTGTGCTCAAGTTTATAATCCGTTTTTGGACATATTCTTTTTAGTCCTAATTGTCATCATGTTAGCATGCATACTCTTTTGTTAATAATACTAATGATAGTTTAATATTTTGTGAACTTATGATTCTATAATCGTTTCGTACCCGTTTCATGCTTCAAAAACATTTTTGTTTACCACTTAGACGTCGCGATCGTCAGCGGTCTGTGACTTCTATGACGGCGACAAGTTCATCTACTATAAACAACACGAACACTGGTGACTATGTGTTCAACACAGACACTTCAAATTCATCCATACACCCAAGTCTTTCAGCTGCCCACTGCACTGGGGAAAAGGCTTCACAATCTCAACTACCCTGTGTTCAGTTGCCTGCTGATTCCTGTTCTTCACACTGCTCTCAAGGCGTTATGATTTCTAATGATTTAAACGTCGCGGAACCTGTTGGCGTGGAATTTTCTAGTACTGACGTACATCAGTCTATCAATCCTACATCAAATGTCCCGTTTTATGTAGTTCAAAAAAGTGCTTGTTTGCCTAATGAAACCCAAGATCCTAATCCTCGATTACTAAGTCAACATTACTATGTACTTTCGGATCTCTCTCTTACACCGGAAACTCATAAAACATCAACTGAGTTCAAAAGTTCTTATATTAATCCCAATACTATCCAGCTACGTAGTAGTTCGAAGGATGTGCCAGCAACAAAACCTGAAGTTAGTAGGAATTTCAGTCATATTCCAATTGACCTGACAACTAACACACTACACAAGCAAATACCTATGCCGTTAGATTCAACCTCTCATCCCATGCAGTTAGGATTACCAGTTTGGTCATCTGTAGACCAGCTAAAGTCTCAGACATCTTTCACAACAGCACCTTCATCCGGCAGCTTAATTACAGCATCATCAATCCAAAATTCATCAAAGTACCGCAAAAGTGAGTCGATGTTAACTCAACTTAGTAAATTAATTTTCTCAGGACGTAAATTCTATCATTTTTTTGGAATCCCGATTTACTTTTACGTAATATATTGTTTGATACTATAAAGATAGAAATCAAGTTTAAGCTAAATATGCATTTATGAGTAAACTTTTACGGTATCATCATTCTCGCCAAGTGTACTAAACTGCGGTCTGCTTGAATATCTGAGCTCTCTGCGTCCTAATACCAAAATATTTAAACAAGTCCCTATCTTTGTTTATGTTTATTAATCGCATAATCTATTCAGATGTATGTACTGAAAGTCTGCAATCTGTCGCTTCTTAAAGCACAAAAAAGTACTATCCGAGACACCGCAGTATCTGTCATTATGCATTGAAAAGGAGACTTGAATTATTCCATGCTGAGAATTCCGTGTCGCACTAACAATATAATATTGAATAAAGATATCATTATTTCTCATGATTAACGGAATCGTTTTTTGGGAACATCTTTCTTTCATCAACTAAACACAATCAATTAGTATACTTTAAAGAAGGAAAAATTAGTGATAACTTTTTGATTTGGTGCTGCCAATGCAATCCCAAACAATCTGTTAATTATGTAAAGCATGCAACCTAATACATGAAGTTACTAATTATCCTTGTACTCGTTACCTCAATGTACTTTAAACGATCAGATTTAATGTCATTTTGATTGTCCGTATTTAAACTTAAAGCAATCTATAACTGCTTAGCACTATATCACTATATAAAAGATTTCCATGTTCACTCACTAGTTTCTGTCTTTATATGCATGAGATATAACCTTAGAAAATTAGGTTATCATCTAGATTATGCTCGTTATATTGTGTCTGTGGTGACCGATTTATTTTTCTGCTTTATCACAAGTCTTAGGAAGTAGTGATTACAAATACTTTTTGCTGATACCTTTCCCGTAGATACTGTGTCTCGGTGGATAAATGATATCAGTTTGTGCAATAGGCTCTCTAGTTTCAGTTCTGTTTGTGAAGTGGAGGCTACTCACAACGTGATTTCTAAATAGTATGCTGTGGTCACTACTAGACAGAAGAGTGCGGAATCGGAATGCGTGGTGTGATCAAAGTGTGTTTTTGAAAACCAGAAGACATGCAGGAAAACAGTCTGCCTATTTTGCGAATGGAAGCCTCAAGATTAGGTGTACATAGTTTGTGTCTTCTCCAAATATACATATATTCCGTCTGGTCTTGACGTCTTGTTCATTACAAGTGTACTGGTCATTAGTAGATTTAATTTTTCACAATAGGTTTCGTTCATGGTTTCGATACTTAAAGCCAGTGAAGGGTTCTGAGATGCATTCTGTTCCTATGTACTTTGATAAGTTAAACAGATATTATATTACACGATGTGGCTATGTCTAGATTTTCGCTATCCTCATTTTTTTGGTTTTCTGCTACCGAAAAGTTGTTTTCAAAAAGCAATCACATACTGATTGGTCTTATGCTTATTCCAAACTAGACGATCAAATTGGTCACTTCACCAGCATACATTTCTTGATTAGTTCTAAATACCAGCAGTAGTTTCTGTATGTTAATACTTGGAATTTTTTACACAAATTACCATTTAGTTTGTTAGTTGTGACCTTATTCATCAATGTTACTTTTGAAATGTTGTAATTCAACATTAACGTGTCGTTTAAATATCACTTACAGAGAAATATATATAGAACTTTGGACTTAGCACAAGTATGTGTTATTCGTATATCAGTTGAATGAAGCTAAAAAAAACAATGCTGACAGTGGTGGCAAATTTAAAGAAAGTAGGCAAGCCGAACTGATAAAGTAGTGAAATAAAAAGTGTTTAGTACAATGGCCAGAACTTGGTGAGAAATCAAAAGTCCATGAGCGTACACTACGACGTACGCTTTTAATACATGCAACTTAAAGTCTCTAGTCATTAAGTTACTGTTATTTTCGCAATTTTAAGGTCGGGTGTCTCTATTTCTTTATATAAGTTAAACTAACGATCAGTAACTCTCTGAAATGATGTCACTTGTTTGTCTCATTATGCGATGTAAATTGTTCACCGATTTCTTATGAATGCTCTCGTTTTTGCGTCACAGGTTAAGTAGTATGACCACCCTTAATTAATTTCCAACCTATTACTTACTATACTAGGGTCTAGCTAAACAAAAACAGATATGATTAGCATATGTCTTTTATAAACCCACCTATAGCATCTGCCTAGTATTTTAAATCCACCCTAAAGTTCCTTTATTAGGTAGTCTCATTAGAAATGAACGACGAATTCAAGAGATCCATTATTTATTGTTTGGACTCAACCTTTTGCTATTTGGTGCTCAAAAATATGAACTTAACCATTTAGTTATAAGGTCACCCAATCAAATTCATAGTATTTTAAAATGTAATTAACATCTTCTGTAAGGTTTTTTGTTTTTAATTATCACTGTTTTTCTTTACTAGGCAGCTTAACAGAAACTAATCAATTCAAATTGTTATACGCTCATAACTGACGGTTTTTTATTTATGAAAACAAATAATTCGGTTGCACTTAAGCGATAGTTTGGTTGTTTTTCTCACAAAATATTTTCTCTGGTTTTATGTATTTTTTGCAATGTCTGTACATTTTATTTCCAGGAACATTCGAACCATTTACACCAGCTCAAAGTTTTTACCCCTCAACAATTAGTTCTGCTTGTCGTCTACAAACTGATCCAAAATATTCCACTGACTCAAACATGATCCCCGTGTTACCGAATTCTTGTTCTCCATTCTTAGTTTCACCTGGTACAACAGTGACAACAAACCACTCAAATGCTATACAGCAACTTTTAAATCCAATCAATGTCGCTCGTTTAATTGCACTAAACCAAAACACGCATTCAAATACACACTATCAAAAATCTTCCCAGTCAGAAAATCTGTCTGCATTGACTCCAGGCGGAGTAACATCTTTCCATCCTACAGTATCCGGCTCCTCAGGAAAGTACTCTCGATATTCACCTCATGCAGCTCATTCGGGATCCGCTTCAACTTCAAAATCTGTTTATGCACGCAATCATTCTAGCTCATCAGAATGGTCTAATGTGAAAACGAGTGCTACTCATAGTGGATATCGCAGTCAACACGGTGATAGCATCAATAACCGAATAGCACAGTTACAACAAGCTTCAACTGATAGATCTATGCAGTTGATCATTTTACAAGAAATAAATCAGGTAAGTTATTTATTGGTTAACTTTACTATAGTTATTTTTTTGTCGGAAAATTCACTTAGTTTAAATAGTGAAGATTATTTTGTTGTTAGTAAATAACACTATTATTTGCATTTGTTCCACAGTTCAAGGTTTATGTGTAGGTATCGATTCAGTTTGGTTTTTCGTTACTTTTTATTTTTTCATTTCCGAAACTGACAGCAAGTTTGCTTTTACATTCTATCACAGTTTCCTCATTAACTCTTTTAAACTTGGGAACAATCTGTTTACAGAAGCATATACAGAAACAATATGTAATTTTGTTCTACGTCAAACTAGTAAATGGGCTGTTAAAGTGAAAGAAGTTTTATTTAAGGTGAATTTTAATCTATAAGCGTATGACTTGAATTACGGCTTACTTATTTCAAATATCTAATATTCCAGTGTTTTTTTGATGTCTTCACTTTATCAAGTATTACAATTACAATGATACTTTTGCATTGTAGTGTTCACACTTCTGTCACCATGGCGTTGTTGTTAGTGTTTTTATTAACTCAACTGCAAGCCATATTCCTGCTCATTTTCACCAGTACAGTTATGCTACATGTGTATGTCAGTGAATTAAACACTACCTATTCATCTTCATCATCTAGACATGAAACCAATTGATTTTTTTCTATCTGTCTTCATATTAAAAAGACCACTTTAAGCAATTCAATTCTATCTTACAAAGACTATGTTGTATTCAAAGTATATTTTTAGTAGCAATGATTGAAATCATACATACATTCAATTATTGATCATATCCTACTTGAGAATTATTCTTTACTTTTTATTGTTCTCTTTGGTGATTCGCTCTATTTCTATCAACAATTTTTTCATCCTACTATTTCCCATAAGGATTATGTTGTTAGATCACACAATGATTTTAATTTAGGCTTATAGCTAGTTTGATTTTGGTAATTTATTTACTTTTATTCTTAGTAGAACTCATTAATCAGTTTTGTTGCAGTAGTAGTTAGTTAGTTACCCAATAAAATCCAAGTTGGATTATAAAAATGTTAAAAATACTCATTTTATTTTATTTCATTTTGTATCGATCTAATATTTTTCATTTTCCAGACTTTGTTAATGGATTTTGAAGAGAATTTATCAAATCTCGATGTTAATAGTTTGGTGAATTGTGTTTTGCAAATTTTGGAATCACAAGAAGATCATCTAGTTGAATTGAAAAATTTAAGTTGTAATGTTTTAACGCATATGATGGATGTTTTACCACGTAGTTCCGATGCAATTGTTCCAGCTTTGCCTATTCTATTGACAACTATGTCGTCTAGTTTTGTTGGTGATATATTAGATAGAATAATTAATTTATTAGAGCAAATATCACGTCGTCATGGTAAAGAAGTATTAAAATCTGGTGGCGTTTCTGTAAGTTTATGTTGTTGTGTTTGTTTGTTTTTTTTGATGGTAAAAATTACAGACAAAAATATGAAGAAATAATAGTGAAAATAAGTTACCATGGGCTTAAAGTAAATAATTTTTTTGCGTGAAATGCACTAAATAGTTATTATAGTTGCATGAAAATATACGGTGAAAACACAATTATTATGTTTTTTTGAGATGGTGGAGAAGATTCGTAGCTCAGGTGGATGATTGTGGTGGTGGTGTTTGTGCTGATGATGTTGTTCAGAAGAACGATGGAAGCTCCACAACCAAAACACCCAGCTCAGAGAACCAAACACCGCCACAACAACAATTATTATGTATTATGAAAGCATTCAGAGTACAACCACATTGACTTTTTCTAATTACCTATGATCGAGTTTCGGTCTCCCATTTGTTTAAGATATGTAAAAATGGTAGCTTGGTGGAAATTCACTATTTTAACTTATCTTTTGATATCTGTCTCATTGGAACATGTTCAATACTCTTTAAGTTTGCCTATGTCTCTGTTCATCTACCATGTTAGATTTCACGCACACATAGGAAAATTAATTAGATGAGATTAAAATTAACATGTAGTTAAGTAACTTTTTCAATTTTAATTATTTACCATTTATAGAAAGAGTAATTTTGCTACTAGGATTATTATTCTATTTACTTTATTATTAGATTTTTTCTGATTCATTTTACTCGCAATTATTTAACGCTTCAGAGGATGTTGTTTTTCTTAAGCCATTTTTTTTAATCAATAAAACAATGTATAAATCTTATGTTCTTATTTAACGCGTGGGTTCGTCACATTTTTGTGTCCAAAATAAAACGTTAAGTATGGAGTTTTCAAATTTTTATAAATCTCATTTATAAGTAAAAGGATAAGAAACTTTTTAATACTTGCTATATATATATATATATATATATATATATATATATATATACTCATCAGTAATGATTAGCAATAATGGTTTTTTTTTAAGTATATTAATTAACTGTGAATATTTTACGTTGTTACTTTTAAAACTTTCATTTAGATTGTACTTGGATTCTACGACTTTGTCACCTCAGCACAACATCGGACTATTTTGACAATGGTGTATAATTGTTTCGTAAATCTACAACAAGCCGATTATGATTTAATTTCAAACTGTTTACCAACATTAGCTGAACATTTAAAAGAATCAGAACCTCGTTGTGTTGAACGTGTTTGTAGTTGTTTTGTACGCTTAGTCAGTGCTTATCGATTTGAACCAGATTTACTAAAATGTATTGTGAATAGTTGTAACTTGTTAACTAATCTTCAATCATTGGTACGTGTTTATATTTTATTGTATATGCTTCATTTATATATTTATATTTGTATTTTTTGAACATGTCACCCACTACCTTCCATAATGAAGTTAAGTCTTGAAGCAAAGAATCCTAATGAACTCATCTATTGATATTAGCATGTAAGGTTATAACCTGTTTGGTTTCCAGCAGGTATGTTGAAATTACTGATTTGTAAAACTTTCTTTGCAATGTAGCATCGTGAATAATGATAAATCGCAAACATTGAATGATCTGTTCATCATTGGATGTCAACTACGTACATCATCATCATCATCATCATCAATGCATTGTTCTATTCGTTCATTGTTATTATTATTATTATTAAGCAGTAGGTATTCAAATCAAATCAAATTAAGGATTTTTCCCAATTGTATTTTTCAAGAATTATTGATTGGTCCGTACAATTGACCTGTATTAATTATTTCAAATTAACTTTATATCAATTAGAATTTATATTTCTCACATAATTATTTATTTATTGTTTTTTTTTAATACTGTTGAATACATTCTTTACTTCGTCCATGTCTAGCTCACGCTAACTCCACCAATTTTGTCTAGTATTCATGAAGTAGTTCAAATATTAGCGACATTATGCTCAAGTTGTCCTGATTTAGCTGTTGATTTAATTAAACAAAGTAAGTTTATAAGTATGCTATAAAACTACACCATAAGTTTGTTTCATTCTATGTGAAATTTGTTAAACAATTCATTTCTTAATTACTCCTTCTTATATTAACTGGTAATCAACATTTTTATTCAGCTAAGCTCCAACGAGAATCCAACACACAGAATATGATGAAAACATTGTATTTTGTGCTGCAAATATTATCTTTCCAACTTTATTGTGAATTTATATAAGGAAATTTGAAAATGACATAAATCAACCTTATAAAATGTATTTAAACATCTCATATACTCTTAATCGGTAATTGATGCAAATTCTTGCAACTGATTATCTGACTGAAGTAGCATTGATTAATTTAACTAATTTACATAACATTGGATAATTAAACTGTGTCAAATATATATATATATATATATATATATATATATATATATATATCGAAAACATGAAATTCAATCCAATTACACAAACTGAACGACATTGTTTGTGTTGCCCAGTCAATAAACCAGTCTACAAGACAAAAACAGAGAATTCATATGACCTTATTTTCCAAAATGAATTATTTTTCCAAACAAAGAAATTTGTCTACTACTACTACTGCTTGTGCTACTGCTTCTCCTACTATTTCAAGCAAAATATAATAAAATCGATAATAAAACGATATTACCATTCTTTGTTTCGTTTCTTTGATACGAATGATGATGATGATGATCAGGAGGACATTAGTTATAATAATAATTTAAGCGCATATAATTTTAGTTTTCGTAGCGTAAATAAATATCTTTAAATGATTTTTCTTATATAAGCAAATTTTCTATAAAATTACTTGTAGTATTCAGTGTTCCTTAACGTTCAAACAACAATCAGTCAGTCACGATTTGATAGAATGTTTTTAGTTTGTATAGTCTCTGTAATTCTAAACTTATAGCTTCCGATCAGATTATTTCTTATTATTGATTGCATTATTAGTATTCTGTTGTTGAAAACGAAAATTTCTTTCCTTTCCATTTGGTTAGATATTTCAAATACTATATATTCTCTTCTATTGGGAGTGAATCCAGAAGTTGAAACTGACTGGGATACTCTGATATCATGTTTCAATGGTTTAACACTAGCTAATTTAGTTCCAAATCAATCAATCACGAAACGACTTCGTGCTCGTTCTCATTCGGGTGAATCATTTAAACCGACATCTTCCTCAACGTTGTCAGCTTCTACGCATTCATCCGACAAACAGCTTGATGTTGGTACCGTTTATTCACTACCTGGTTTATTGCGACAATGCAACAATTTACCATTTGGTTGGCAATCTTTAATGATAACTAGTTCTACTCTACTGAATTCTTCTTTATTGAATTTAACAAGTCTACCTATAAATCAAAGAAGTCCAGATGATGTTCATTCAATAGTCTATTTGATTAGGTAGATTAAAAACTTATTTTGATATTGTTCACGATTCTGTTCAGTTTTTTTTTCATTATAATACTTGCTAATAGTAGATGGATTAGCTCATTCACTATCTACTTGGGTATGAAAAGTTATGATACTACTCGGTAGGCCAAATCGAAATGGCTGGAGCAGGGTTCGAACTTGGGACTGGAAGTCTGACGCTGTAACCATCAATCTACTGTTTCTTCCTTCAACTAGCACACTATCCAATATTGTTCGCCCCAGTAAATATTAGTTATACAGCAATATATATGCTGGCTATCCTGTATGCATAAGTTAAATTTATCAACAATTCAAGCTTGTTCCATTCAGAAATAAAAAAGTATTACATCTTTAAAGTCCGTAAAACATCAAATCTTGAGCTAGTTGTGACTACTGATAATAATAATAGCCATACTAATAGTTACATCTATTATATTAATACTTTCGACTAATTAGAAAAGATTTACTTCATGTGCATCTGGCGTTTCTTCTGAAAATTCCATAGAATCTTCAGTTTGCTGTTGATTTATACAATTCCCTAAAAATACATTTATATGGATTTTGTTATTAACAACTGCCTGTTATATATTACAGCATCAAAATTGTCACTTATTGTACAGATGTTACAAAAGTTAAAATGTTCACAATGAATCAGTCAAACAGTTGTTAAGTAGGGAGATTCAATCATAGATTGGAGAAATGTTCTCAAAAGTAAAACTCGTTTATGCATACTACAAGTAACAAAATAACAAAACCTGTTGTTGTGCTTATTCAATAGATAACAATCAGTGAATTAAGGATAGAAATTAGGTTAATTTAATCATCAGTCTAACTGTACTTGTAATCCTATTTTAACAAGTAAATGCTATTTTATTATTAGGAATGATTTTCTCATCAATATATGAATTTCCGTTCTGAAAAATCTATATTGTTAAGCCCAACAATAATATATGTTTGCTTCATAAAGCATACCAATTTATGAAACTGACTTCTCGAAGCAGTTGTGGTATGTAGTATCCACTCTGCTTGAGACTTGGCAAGATTTTGACCAGTCAGCCATAATGATTTTAGATGCGTAAAATAGTTTAATCTTTTTAGTCAGAGTTTCGTCAAATGTTAAAATTTTTCTAGTTTTTGTTGTAGCTCAAAACGAAGGTCATTCCCTGAGATCCGTTTATTCTTTATGTTGTCAGTAGTGCACATCTCATTATTCTGTGCGATAACCGAGATCAGTTTTTAATATTTTTGTTAGTTTTTGTTCAAAAATATATATATCTTGTGCCTTTTGCCTTGATTGTTTTGAATACTTTTAGTGAACTTCTTCCACCAATTTCGAATCAGTTCAAATTCTCTACATTATATTCGAATCCGTCACAAAAATCCAACGATTCAACAGTTTCCAATGTACATTTTGGATCAGGAGTTAATTTAAATTCAATGTTTTCTACTAGTGATTCTGGTTTGTGCACTCCGGAGCAATGGACTACAGGAACTGCATTTTTCGCTGATACAAATAACATTCAGGCTAGTGTAAAAACATGTTTTTCTTTGGTTTTCTCTTGTTTTTAAGTGTAATTATTATTAGATTGTTTGTCATTTTTTAAATTCAACTTGTTACTTTATTAGTATTAGTATTACTCATTATTATTATTATCATTTAGTTACTGTTTTTTGAGAGAGCAATTTACAAGCAATCCCGAACCTAGATCTTATGCCAGTTGATGTTTATCAGTTTGGCGTGCCTGGTATATTGAAGTGACTGTTGTCTTTGAACTCGAATGTCCGTCACACATCTTCCCATTATAAAACGTTAGCACTGTACCATTAAGACCATGAGTAGTGCACGCGTTGCTAAATTACTTTAACTAGTAGTTATATCAGTAGAATGGCATCACACTTAGGAACTAAATAAGCATGATATTGATTACTATCCAGTCACCAATCAATTGAAGACACTAATTTATCTTCAGGTTACCACTTTTCTTCCCAGCTACCGTTAGCTTAGTTATTGGTTCATTTCTTGTCTTACCATCGCTTGTCGGTAACCTAGTATTGTTTCTGTATGGTTGTAGTATAAATGAATGACAGATCGTTCCTAGTTACCTGCTGATAAGTTGATCCACTCTCCAGAAACTGATATTTCTAAGTATTTTTTTACTACTATAGCTTATCCCGTAATCTAGTTTTTGCTTTCAATAGTTTTGTTGATTAGATATAACTGTCAATACTGAAAACAGTCATGCATGTATTTCATTTGATTATGAACAAGGCATTTCAGTATTATAAACTCAAATACTGCAAAAGTTATAACATGTAGACCAATTTAGGCGATGCAAATACACACATCTAGCTTATTTTCGTGCTTTCATCCTACTATTTGAGAAATATTCTAATTGAAATGTTTACTTTTTGTTAAACAAAATTATTTACAAATTCTTTATAGGTTCAAGCTTCAAAAATCAAAAGCTCTGGAAGTTCACCTTCCGTCTCTTCTAATTCATCCAGTACTTTGTTACAAGGTTCATTTGATTCCATCAATCTATCACAATCTAGTAATTCTCAAACACATCTAACAGATCCCCGTTCACTTTTGCTATATGATGAATGTAAAGAGCTACAGAATCGCTTACTGACGTTAATTTCCAATAAAGAAGAATCCAAAACCACACATGGTGCGCATACCAGACGACGTTCCATTCAACAAAAGCATGCAGAAGATAATAGTAATGGTAAACCAGCTGTTGCTGAAAAGCACAGTCCTGGAACACAACGTTCACATGGAAATATTGAAAGTCGTCTAAATTTAGAGACCACTGAAGCTTTGCAGATGGTTCAAATATTACTTCCTCTCTTATTTGAAATATTCACTGAAACTACCAAGACACAAACGCGTTTGTTGTGTTTAGAAGCTATACAACGGTAAGTTTAAGTTTACATACTAACATATGAATATTTATCCAATAAGAACTCTGCACAACAAACACTTTTATTTGAGTAAAGATTGAAAGTAAGTAAAAGAAAATTACCCACAAATTTTAAGCTTCACATCTCCATCATGGTTAGTATATGGTGCTTTAGTTTTTTAATGGATGAATCCTATCCGTTATGTGAATGCTATTTTGGTATACAGTTGTCTGATAACCTTTGTGGTAACCAGATTGACTCTTGAGATTTTTCTTTAGATATTGATCGTCTCTGGATCGATGAAACAAAGATTAGTTATTTCTACAATGTAAATTTTGTCGTAATAGTTAATATTCAAGAATGAAATCTTCAGTGATAATTGGAGAAGAAGTGTAATCGTAATTCTAATTTTATCTTTAATTAATAGCATACACAACTATATTTAAGATATTGTTTTCTAAGAAATAACTCTCCATCTTATCTTAACGTTTTGAGCTACTTTTAATGAGGTTGTTGCATAAATATCCCCAATGTTTACGAATTTCACAGATAATAAGCTCAAGTATTGTACCGTCATTCTGTAAGCTGACAAGAAACTGATTTTGCCTTTGAAGCGTCTGTAATTCAAATTCATAATATGCAGCCAAAACCGTTAAAAATCTCTGAAACTTCATTCCGAATAGTGGATCCTTGCAGGTATCTCACCTTACGAAACAAATACAAATTGATGTCATTCACTTTTGATGAAGTCATTGATGTGTGTCCGGTTTCCAAATATAGTGCAGACGCCAGTGGTTCCTGTAAGTAGGCTTCATCATATTACAAGTACTGTATTATAATTATCTTCTAAAGATTGGAAAATTTTAGCTCAATCACTTAATAAAATTTATGTACTTAATTAATTTACTCAAGTTAATCTTATTCTAATAAATTTAACAATTTTATTGTTTCTTCTGTTTCACTCTTTCTCTGTAGAATGATATTTTATTCAAGTCCTTTATTGCTGGCCAAAGTAATTCATCCAAGATTAGTTTGTAGTCATATTGCCGGTATGCTTAATAGTCCTGAGAAACGTGTTATTTTGATGGCTCTACAAATTGCTGTCATGTTACTCGGTCGAATCCCATTTGTATTTGCTACATATTTTCGAAAAGAAGGTATTCTGTATCGAGTTGAACAATTAATTTTACGCCTGACTAATAGTAGTACTTCAGATATCACTTTACAACATGATTTATTGTCAAATCAATCTTTATCCAAAGTATCTTGTGTTGTATCCGATACTAGAACAACATATGCATCAACTGGTAACCATGCAATTGATCAACATACAAATCATCATTTATTTCAACCTAACGATAACATCAAATCGAAACGTGGATCACTTGCAGTCGTTACTCATGGACATTATGACGAGGTGATTACGTGTTCTTATTATCGATCGTATTATTTTTCTGTGTTACTTAAACTTGACATAATTGTAACATAGTTATTCTTTGTGCTACTTTATTCCACATATAAGGGTGACGAATTGATGAGAGAAATAAATGAAAAAACAACTAGCTATATTCAAACAGATTGGTCTTGTTTTACAAAAACGTATTGGCAATGTTTAACTTATTCGTTATAAACCAATAATGTCAGTCGTTCATAAATACCAATTATTCATACTAACATAATACTTCTTAAATTCTAACATTTTCCAGTGTGTGCTTTATTATCGATTATCTAGTTTAGCTGTCACGTTCATAATTTCTAATTCGAATCACATTGTGGTTTATTGTAGCGGCTTTATTGATCTGCAGAATACATATTAGTGCTTTGTTAGTAATCTTATAATGTGATCATAATATCCTAAAGACTGAATACCAAGAGTTTTGTACTGTATGTTTTCGCCGTCATGTTTTCCATTGAAGTTTTTTGGCGTACTTGTGAATAATCCTTCTTATTCTAATGCTTATGTAAGTTACATGACAAACCCATCGAAATCATTTTATTTCAAAAATTCGGAAGGCGCACCATGAAATGTATGATGCACGGCTCGTCCTACTTGAGACGATTGAATGTATATCCACATCTCAGTCTGGATGTTCACACCGTAATTCAAACCGAGAATCTTTCGCTTCAAACTCCAACATGTTACTCTGTGAGCTACTGAATTCAGATAGCTTGTCATTTTATCCCTAAATATTATTTATTGACTAAATCGATCCATACAAATGTAGTTTAATTTTGCCTTGTGAGTAGTATTGTTTTCAAGGTGCTTATAGTTGTTCTTATCTTTGGTGAGTCATGAAAGCTGTTTCACTGTTAGTTTGAAATTTCTCAAACTGAAAGTTGTGAATTTCGGCATTTTTGTTAGAGTTGTATATTCCGTGTATGTTATTCTCTTTTGTTTTATGATCTGTTTGTATCTGAGTCTAGTCAATAACTAAATATCATGGTATTATGAACATATTTCCTAATTTTGCCTTCAATCACTTGTAATATGGATCAGTATTTGTGCAAAAGTGAATAAACTCACTGTTATTTATTTTGTTTACTCACAACTAGACTCATTTGGAAAACTGCAGTACACAAAATTGTTCTGTTGTACTTGATATGCCTTTGTCATGCGATTTGTCAGGTCAAAAAAGTTTTAATTCCAGTACAAACCAGCAGATAAAGCATCAAATAGACTTAACCAATACATCAAACTATGCTTTATCCAATTCGCCTACATTTCTGTTCACTGAACGGTTAGTGAAGTATGGTTTAATTTTTATATCATTTGAATGTATTAATGGCTTACATTGTATAGTTGTTTACAATTTTCCATTTTGTTATACAAGTCATTGGAAAATCAATCCTTAGTATTAATGTAGTAGTCTCTGGATAATAGATACTGCCACTTTGTGAAATATATTTTCAAACTAAAGGAATGAATATAATTCAGTTTATCGATTCTGTATTTGTAATAATTTAGTAACACTTATAAGTATTTATTAACTTAGTTACATGTTGTAAGTAGTTAGACTTGACCTCAAATAACATTTTTATATGTCGTCGAATCATAAAGTGTTCAAATACTCTATGTGTACGTAATGGGTAGTTGCACTTTGAATTTATTTGTCATTCATTAAATCTAGGTAAGATGTTTAGCAGTAGTGTTTATTTAGTCATAAATAAATTGGCTAGTCTTTGTTTATTGTATGCACTTTGTGATTGTTAGAAGATCTTAAGTATATTTTAAAATAATTACTATTTTGTTGTTATCTTATTACTACTGGTTCATTGTTTCATTTGTAGCGATCCACTGCTTCAGTCGATTCGATCAATTTGTGAAAATCTACAAGTACATACACATATTTTATTAAAATCATTTGATTCACAAAATAATCCATTGAAAATTGATTCGAATAATTATCATCATGAAGAGCATAAAATTGATCTCTCATCATCATCATCATCATCATCCTCTCATCATGACATGAAAACTCATGATCTTATTGATTTAATGCCTTTACTAAAATGTATTGCTCATCAGTTAAATTCTGACTCACCAAATCTATGGATACATAGTTTGAATCAATTAATTGATCTATTCAAACCGTTTAGTGAAAAAACAACACTGGACACAATGGTCATTGAACCACCATCACCATTTGAATTGCAAGAAAGTGGTGTAACAAATGCTTTGTTAAATTTCCTCACTATATCCAATAACCGTGAAATTCGTTTATGGATAATGTTTCGAGTAAGTTGATGTGTTTATTGATCCGTGTTATTTTCTTCTTCGTTTTATTTCTTTCTTTATGTTATTTTGTTGATTGATTGATTGATTGATTATTTATATTGTCTTGTTTTTGTTTACAATAAACAAAGTTCATTAAAATAATGATAATAATGATGAATCATTGTCTCAAGTAATAAATTTATTAGAAATATTCATAATTGACATTCTTCTATATAATCACAATGCATATTATTTATTAAGATGACTATATTATTCACAAAGTTGTTGTGTTTTAGTCTAGATTTTTATTTTGTGAAAGGTGTATTTTTATTCTCTACTGAACATGTTATCTTCTAAACTTTGAAAATCACATTGAATCTTTTGACATTTTTTAATTATTTCTTTCTAACAAATATATATATTGAGCAACTATCGGATTTGTTCAGCAGTTTACTTTATCATCCACTGATAATAGCTTTGATTTATACAGTTATCAATGTATTCTTATATTTATTAACTGAATTAATATATTTTCAACAAATTGTAAAACGGATAGGAAAAAATGTTCAATCAGTATTTCAAGCATTCCAAGCCTATTTAATAAATCTGGTTAATTCAATGCAAAGAAAAAAGTGAGAATAATCAAAACTGTGATAATATATATTAGGATATAATAGATTTCAAACCGTCTAATCATACATACTTGTGATAAATATTATTTTAACTAATACTTACTACGTGATTAGATTGTTCCAAATAAATTGTGTTGATTATATTACCTAGTTCGAATTACCTTCGTCCTCTCTTTCATTCATTTATTCAAATATCCAATTTATGTTGTATGTTTCAATAAAAATCTTTTAATATCACTGGCTATTTGCATATATATATATATATATAATCAGTTTGTCTTGGTTTTGTCAATTGTACATTGTAGATCGAAAAATGAACTTGATATTTTTTTTATCCAGTTTATAGATTATGCAATAAATTCATATTCACATCTAAATTATAATTTATTGTATAAAAGTAATCGGGTTTACTATGATTTATAACTAGTGGACTAGATGACGGAATTTAAATTATTATTGCTAATTTACAATTCATTTAAAAAATTGATATTTATGTGAATGGATTTAAAACACACTTTAATACAAGCTCAGTGATTACTCTCTAAATGGCTACTCAAACTGAAATAAGGTAAAGCATTGTTAAAACCCAGCACCAAGTTATTGAACATCCAGTTTACTGATCACTAATTGATTGTTTCATTTATTCTTTAAGTGTAAACATCTTTCTAGTTTAGAGTGAATTGATTTCTTCTATCTTGCTAGTTACTGCGACCATATTAACCAACCATTAAACCAAAAAGAACAATAATAATATTTCAAATACTTGATAACAGATGTTATTTAATGGAATTATTTGATAAAAATACACAGTAATTATAGAAAAGAAAGTTTACTTAGTGTTTAAACATAATTTATCAAATCAACACAGACTATTCAAGATTCGTCAACTTTATGAATAATACTAATTAATTAAAACAAAATACCTTTTGACATAGATTATTATTGAAGGATTTACGGTATGCCATACTTCACTCAATATTAATCAGTTAATACATGAAGTTTATTTACTTGAATAAGATAAATTCTCTACCATTTATATTTTGTTAATTCATGTTTAGATGTTCCTCGGTCGGCGAGCTACCACACCTATTCGATTCAGTCCAACATTAAATTTAGAAAATATAAATGGACGTAAATGGAACGGTTATAAAAATTGGTTCAGTTTTTTGTCCATTGTACCAGATTTGTTTTTGTCCGATCATAATAAATTAAGTCAGCTAAATGTGGTTGAATGTTACTTGAATTCCGAATTGAAACACGATGATAATTCATCTCGTGGAGTCGAAGCTTTTGGAGCCTTAATAGAATGCCTTTTGGCTTACTTACATAGACATGAACATTTTCAAGTGAATACTATTCCACCACTACTCCCTCCAGGTGACAAATGGCTCTCAATGATCGGAAGGGATCTTAGAAATGTCAGTAATCCCGATATTGTGGGCGGTTTTGAAATACATGATAACATTTTGTCATCACCTACATCTTCTAGTAGTACTCAAATGCTGTCCTCATCACAACAGTATAATGTTCCGAAAACTGTTGCAGCTAACTCTTCTGGTCGGTCGTCCAGTAAAGTCTCAACACAAAGAGTATGTAATATGAAGACATCTGCCAAAACGTCTCATCCTCCCCCTATTAATTATAGCAATAATAGGATGGATTCATCAAATTCCAGTTGGCATTCAACAAATACAGATTCGAAATTTGTAACTCATCATCCTGCCGGCTCATCTTCCCGACCTGTTCAAGTAACCGCCCCTACTCCAGGGATTCTGCGTATTGAACTCCATCGTGTATATGAAGCAGAAGGTACATTAAACGAAAGTAATTCACCAGTGAATCATCCCACCAGTCCATCAATTACTGGACCCAACTCCAAAAGCGGTCGTAAGTCTTCTTTGTCTTCAACCTCATCCGGACATTCTGCGAATACTTCCTTCTCGTTAACAACTGAGCCGTGTTCCTCGTTACCACATTTCCTACCACTCCGTATCACTGCTCTGGCTACAATTCAGGTAAGTCTGTAAAATTGCATGCTATCTCTGATTATCTAAACATATTGTTTTACCTTTATTATTATGTGCACCTTCGTTGGTGTATCAATTCAGGCAGTTGACTATTTGATCAAATAATTACATACTTATAGTAAACTTCAGAAAACTATTCAATTATTAACCATTTGAAAAATACTTTATATCAAGTTGATGATTGATTTGTACTTTTAATTAATTATGTTAATCCACTCTCATTTTTTATCATCAACTTTTTCTTTGTATAGAACGTTGAACGGTTGCTCCTACAACGTAACTATGTGAATAGTGTTCTACAAGAAAATGGTTTTTCACAACAATCTGATTATAATTTGATAGGTTTTCAAGAAACATTTATTGATCATATTGCAGATGATCTTCGCACTTCACCACAGTCACAACTAATCGATGAAGTGACAGATAATGACGATGAAGATATGGATTCCCATACTCACACATTATTGAGAGATTTGGAATCAGTTGAAAGGCCCTTCAAACATCATACAGATACTCAACACTCAGACAGATACTTACGGACGGCGGTTCCTGTGAACACAAGTAATATAAAATCGGTTACACCCGAACGTAGACACAGAAATCAGCCTAGTCGAATTCCCAAACCGTCTGTTTTTCATCCTAGCCAGTCATCAGGCATGACTTCTTCCATTCATATACAGCCAACCGTCAGCAGAAGTCCAAGACACCCAAAATCAGACGTTTACGCAAAACACCTTTCGTTGTTATCTCACACTTCTTCTGATAACCTTACCCATGAACGCTCTACACTTAATCAGCCTACTGCTACAAACCCCAGTGTACATGTAACCTCTTTAAATTGCTGTCCACAAACACTGATATCATCGAAAACAACTGTTTCCACTTCTAGTTCACTTCAAAGAGGATTACGTAACTTATTACAACGTGGTTCAGAAATTTTACCTTTGATGACTAGAAGTGGAATTGAAAAACCGAATCTATCCAACTTGCATCCAGTTGAAAACCCTAATGCTTTTGTTGTAAAGAAAACTGATTCTCGTAGTGCCCGAAGGCGTTCAACTACAAACGTTTCGATTTCCGATATATTCAGCTCAACATCAGTCAATACATCTACTTCACTAACTGCTCCTGAACGAATAATTACTCCATTTTCACACTTTTTACGATCTGTCACAAATCCACTAGTATCGGACGATAATTTGAATGTAGATGCGTCTGTAATCTCTAGTAGACGTAAATCCAAGAAGACGACTCCCCAAAAGGAATCTGATGTTACTGTCGTAAGTACAAATTCCGAAAATTCAGTTTATCTTCCTAAGCCTGTTTCTTCTGTTCCTACTCAGCTGACAAGTAGATACAGACGATTAAAAGGTGGATCTCTTTTTACAGCTCTTGGCGTTTTAGCTAATAGTTCGGCTACAACAACAACTACAACATCAGTTCGTAAAAGTACAATTCGTCGTGGTAGAAGTAGTGGAATTCACAACTCCCATGTACCACAAACTCGCTCTTTTAAAAATGCTGTGTCACCTTCATTGTCATCTACGTCAAATGCTTCATCACCTCTTGGAAGTGAAGATAGTTTTATCTATCATGGTAAATCAAGACCTACAATTACATTTTATATTGGCGGTCATCGTTTGCCTCCAGACATTCCATTATATGAAGCAATTCGTAAATTTAACCCAGAAATCTTATCATATTCTTCTGCTGTTAATTCGGTGCTAAATAACTTCGGCTCCCACAATCAAACACTTGATATTTCTGAGCAGCTATCTTTAACTCAAGCAGAGAAAGAAAATTTAGTGAGTCATTTTTTAAATTTAATAGTCGATATGTATTTTTATTAACTTGAAGATTGATTACTCAATCAACTAAGATGTTTTCATTTAGATCTTACATATTGTTTCATAGATATACTGATATTATTTTGCATTTCTTTCAGTCAGTCAGTTACAAGGTAGAACTTCGTACGTAAATACATCAGTTCAAGTTGCCATACCTCATTAGCACAGAGATATAATTGTCACTTCAAATCCAATAGTAGTATAGGTAGTAAAGGTATTAGAAGTAATCGGAGAGATTAGTGTTCGAAGATGTTGTTCAAGAAATATAATTCAGTAGGTTAGAATTTCCTAGAACACAAAGAATGAATGCACCTGCGCGATTTCAAACTGCCATGTCACTCAAGGTGTCTAACCATCGATTATTATCATCTCGAGGACCCCAACCAGGTAGCCTACATCTACCGACATGACTCAGTCCACTTGCCAATTACTTCATGAATTTGTGCCATGTTTTGATTTGGCCGCCCCTAGCTTTCTTCCAACCTACTCCTACACTGCAAAACATAGCTCGTCGAGGCAGTCGGTGGTTAGGCATACGTAACAAATGTCCCAACCACCTCAACTGATGAAGTTTCAACACTTCATCTGTTGATCTGCCATCCTTACCTAACACCCGTTTCCTAACAATAGCATTGCTTACTCGGCTTTCCCACGATACTCGAGCACTGCTTCGGAGACACTTGTGATCGAAAACCTACGACTATAGTTTACTTTGACTAGCCATATTTCGCATCGATATAGTAGTACGGAGCGAACTCCCTATCACTAGTTCAGGTACCGATGAAACCCATTCTTGAGCCAACATTTTGCATCTCAAAGGGGAAAACCGCATCCCTAACATGCTTGCATTGTTGCTTAGGGTGGTCAGAAGACTCTGCATTTTGTCAACGTCTTCACCAAGTAGGACTATGTCATCGGCATATTCTAAGTCGATAAGCGAGCCTCCTGGTAATAGGTCTACTCCTGAAAATTCAGACGAGGATAAGGTTAATTCTAAGAGCATGTCTATGATAAAATTAAACAAGAATGGAGAGAGTGGACATCCTGACGGACACCACTTGAAGTAGAGAATTCCGGTGACAGTTCGCCATAAGCTCTCACTCGACCAGTGGTGTTCGAGTAGAGAGCTTGTATGAGGTTAATGTACTTCTTTGGTACACCTTTCAATGACAAACACTGCTACAGAACCTCACGATCCACTGAGTCGAATGCCGCCTTAATGTCCAGGAAAACAACTATTGTAGGACGCCTAAATCTGTGTCTGTTCTCCAGGACCTGTCTGAGTGTGAAAATGTGGTCTATAGAGCCATGTCCAGGTCAAAAACCAGTCTGGTTTTCTCTAGTCTGCTCTTCACGAGCACTAGTAAGGCGTCTAAGTATAATGGAGGCTAGCAATTTAGATACTTTTTTAGTTAGACTGATTCCTCTGTGATTGTCACAAGAAGACTTTTGTCCTTTCTTATAAATTGGGACAATCAAGGATTGAGACCAGTCAGATGGGATTACGTCCAGTTGCCAGATTCTACCTAAGATTTCAATCAATCTAGCTGCTAAAACTGGACCACCATCCTTAAAAATCTCAGCGATAAACCTATCAGTACCTGCTGCTCTACTTCGCCTTAGATTTCCTATAACTTTCTCAACTTCATGTAGACTAGGAGGACATATCGATTTGCCATTCAGGATGACTGGAGATCGTGGGTAACCGAAGAGTGGCTGAAGGCCAGCTGAACAGATCCCGGAAGTGTTCTGCCTATCGATCCAATCTCATGGATTGAGAATGGATAATAAGACCATCCTTTTCCGAAATATTCTCACTCACATTCGGGTTCCTAATACCAGTTTCCTTGATGAGTCTAAATAGTTGCCTACTATTGCCTATCGCCGTCTCCCTTTCTATCTCTCTCGCTTTCGCTGCCCACTACTCTTTACGATCACTGCGTAGGCTTTTTATCAGCCTAAGCTGACTTTGCTCCTCATCGCACTCAGGGCCAGGCGGGATGAGTAGATAATAATGATTGAGTATCCATCAGTTCCGTAGATGCTACTGAAATCAAAGGCTTCTCCCTAACCTTATGGTTTACCGTACTCGAAGATATCACTGTTGTTTCCACAGCCTTTTTGATATCATTCCAAGCTGTCTCAGGTTGGGCATCACTTACTACATGGCTGCCTAACTGTTTTTCTAGTTGTTCCTGAAATATATTCTTAGCTTTATTATCATTAAGTAGAGCCTTAAGGGCTTTCCTTGCGATATTTTTCTTGCGTTCAGTAAGGCGCAAACAAATACGTGCTCGCGCTAGAGCATGGTCAGAGTCTAAACAAATGCTCCAGAATGAGTGGCAGTCTTCGACAGAGCCTCTCCACCGATGGCTTATAGCGATGTGATCTCGTTTGGTCCATCGTTGGGCCAGCTTCGGGGATTGCCAGGTCAAAAAGTTAGTGTTTGCTAGGAATAGGCAGTTATCTGAGCATAGCTATAGTAGACGGTCGCCATTATTTGTTCTATTAGCCGCGACACCATAAGATCAACCCAGATGTCTTTCTTTTTCTCTGAGTCTACCTACTTGAGCGTTAAAGTCACCAGCTATTATTACTATATCAGAGCGCTTAACATTTTAGAGAGGTTTCTATAAAAGTCGTCTGAAATGCAGTCAGTGCGAGCGTAGGCTGATACGACGAACAGGCAACGACGAGTGTCCCTATCCTTTCGAGTCTGTACCGTCCCGTTTAGTCGAACAGCGCACAAGCGAATGTTTGTCGGGATCCAGTCTAAGAGAGCTAGTTCTGCCCTAGGACTTAATACTATACCCACGCCGGCAAGGCCACGAGAGGCGGCATCAGGGCTTCCAGAAACACGAAGCGTAAACCTTGTTGTGTCTCTACCTGCACTAGGTGAGATCAAATTGATGATTTTACTCGAGCCTTGTGTGCGTGTTTCGGAGACGCAACATACATCGATTGCCCGGAGTTCCAGAGTTTTAGCTAATGGAGCCTGTTGTCCCATTTGGCATAGGGTCCGAACCTTAAAAGCTCCTATACGTAATTTAGTAGGGGGTTTGAAGTGACCAGGAACAATGTTTCGTGAGCTCGTACCGTTTGCTTCAGTGACGTGAGGTGATAAACGATCAAAAGAAGGTTTGGTCGAGGAGATAAGATAGTTATTAAGAGGTGTAGGAAGGATTTGATTGTGACCAATTTGGTCTCGTGTGGTTTTATGGGTACGAGGGCGGATGTTACTTTCCGACTGCCCACCGTGGGTGTTTTTTGAGGAACCTGAAAAAGCAGGTAGATTAGCGTTGGTCTTAACGACCTGGGAGCGTGATCGCAGAGCCCAAGGGACAACTGCTTGAGGCCAGTCACGCACAGCCTATTTATGAAAGGTTTTTCGAGTATTAGCTCCACTCTTTTTAAAAGCCTTTATTGGGCAGCCTTTACCAACGAAGACAAATCCGTGAGGTAGGGTGAGGTGTGACATTTTTAGGGTCAACCTTTTCTAACCCTTCCTTCCTTGTGAGAAGGCAGCATCGCTGCAGGTACTGGTTGTCCGAGGAAAACACCTTACTGCTGTCACACCTCTCTGCAGTCAGCAGTACGACTTCGCCCTCAGACCTTTTGTAGCTGTTTTTAGTCTCATCGTTCTCCAATCGACCTGCCTGGCATGGTAGGACCTGCAGGAACATATGTTCCAGCCAATATAGCTCGATTGGGTCATCAGGATGGGCAAGTCTCGACCACCACGTCAAGCTAGCAGCTACGGTCGGGGCATTTCTTTAGTATTTTGATAGGTTTTAATTCTGTAGCTGTCTTATTGTAGTAATTTCATTTTCTAGTTAACCCTCATTACTATACTTCATATTGTATATATTACTGCTTTTTTAGATCGGTCATTTCATTTGGACTCTTACTCATGTTATTCAGTATCGAGTCACTTATCAGTCTTCATCTCATGATACTAGTAGTACCTGTTCAGGTAAACATAGTAATGTCTCGTTTTTGTCATCACTTCCTTCTCATTCATTATCTCCATCTTCTGCTTCATTATCACCTAAAGATGTCAGTGATTCCAGTATCGCAAGTATAGTACCATCATTTCCTACCACGCTTAACCTTAGTGCTGCAATAACATGTTTTAAACATCGACGTTCAAGTGAAACCGACACTGAGCATGCAGACAATCTTGAAAAGTGCCCTACTCCAAGTTCAACACCTGCAGTAACTGATTCATTATCTCCAGTACAAAAACATATCCCTTTGTGTAGTCAAACATTTCAAATAGCTCAAAATCCACTATTTGACTTTTTAGTTAATGATTTACCTGAAGGCTTTTTAACTGACATTCGATGTGATTGCAACTCTATGAATCAACAATTAAATTGTCTATTGAACACGGAAATGGTAAACTTCAATTCTTCAACAAACCCTTTATCAACAACCCTTTCTCTTTTGCGTGTATTATATAACATTAGTCGTTTGTGGTATACAGTTCACAACGCTTTGGATCCTTTTCCAATCTTTTCTCCAGTAAGCCTTTTCCACTATTAAATGTATTCATGTTAATCGTTCATGTATTTGCTAAAATTTTGTTCCCTACAATCATCGGTTTGTATTAATTAATTAACTGATTAACATTACCAGAACTTTCACAACACTGATTTTATATTTCGTTAAAATAGTGAAGACACTTAATTTACAGTCGTTTTCTTGAAAATGCTCATTAACTTTTATTCAGTTTACTTTTTCGCACCCTGCAAAATTGATAGATTTTCCAAAAAGTAAGTAGAATAACTTTGTAGTTCTTTTCACATTGTAATGAATCATATCAAACCGTGCTGATGGTCCACTGTAAATCCGTGTACGTACCGTTATTGTACTACTCTCAATTCCACTGCGTAGTTGTTTGTGTACAGTTTGAAGATTTTATGTTTTGCTTTAAGTGCAACATGTTTAAAAACAATAATTTCGTATATTTACACTGCACTTGTTGGATATCGAAATTTTTCCGCTTGTCATTCAAAACCTAAATACCCAAAATATTAATGTGTGGATTTCTTTCTCATATATATATATATATATATATATATATATATATATATATATATATATATATATATATATACAATGTTGTACAACGGTATTTCTTCTAATCACCTGATTTTAATGTCTTGAAACTATGTTCTCTTGATTTTTTCACTCTTTATTTGCGCTATATTCTATAAAATAGAATAGATACTATTTTTCAGTTATTGAAATAAATGAAAGACTAATTAAACACTATTAAAATTATCTTCATTGTAACATTTTCTGAGAATTTCAAAGACATATTGTTTCCTTATGCCAACTTTAAGGTGATACGATTGTTACTAAATCTCATATGTTTTATAAACTCCAGTCAATTAAACCATAAATCTTTTAGGTTAGCTTTGTATCAAAAATGTCCCAGTCTTGTACAAAATTAGTTATCAAAAGTTTAGTTACTGAGGGGTCATACCTAATAATATTCTGATTATCGGTTTGGGAACACGAATATTTGCTTAGCTCATTAGTTGCGTGGTGCAACAGTACACAAAGACATCAATTCGGAAGTGGATTAACTGTCGTGTTATAACACGCTGGGTTTTCTTTTATTTTAAATGCTTTCTTTGCTTGTATCATTAATAACAAAATATTCGAAATATCTTTCATATTTATTGACAGTTGGACATTAAACAATGTAAGTGATGTAGTTTAGTTACGTACTTATAACTAACTCCCTATCTTATCTCTCATTCTTGTCTAGCAATCATTTCAAAGTCAAAAACTTGCTGTCAAAGCTAAACGTCAATTACAAGATGTTTTCAGTGTGTTAGCTGGCAATTTACCTTCTTGGCTGATTCAATTAATATCAGTATGCCCATTTCTGTTTCCTTTTGATATTCGAAGGAATTTTTTCTATGCCTACAACTTTGATCGTAATCGAGCTTTACTAAGATTTCAGGTACAGTTGCATTTTATTTAATACATTAATGAGTTTATATTATATGATTTGAAAAAAAAATTCCATATACACAACACTATACTCTGTTGCTGCAAAGTTTTTAGAATAGTTTAACAATGACACAATAATAATTCAATAGATTTGTAGCATGTAATTAAAGTGAACTCTTTCTTTTTTGGCTTCTCTTTCGTCACAGAGATACATATTACATATTTTGAGTTTGTTTTATCAAATTAGAAAAACTAGTTGTAATATGAAGAAGAGCTTTTGTCAGTGTGTATGTGGTATATTGAAACTGTGTGTCATCTGTATACTGAACTGGTGAATATTTCTATATAATTCATATATTATCTGAGTACAGGTACTTATTTAACTGTATATGATAATAGTATTAGCAGTAACCATTTTTACAGAGAATATGTCAGTAGTAACTAAGATATTATTCTGAATTGATCGGGAATTACAGTAACCATTATTTCCTTGCTCATTTATGTACCATTCCATCTAGTACAGTCTTAAACATCTCATTGAACTTAGTAACATTGGACGGTAGTTAACAATGGTATCTTGTTTTATTTCTGACTTGCCAGTTAGTTCTATGTACCTATATTCAGTTGTTTTTCTGGTTCATACATCACCTTATTTTAAAACATTGCCTCTAACATTAATTACAAATTGTAAATTACTTCTGTTTATTATCTAGGATTTGGCCAGTTCTTACACTTCTGATATTGATCAAAATCGTGAACAAATAGGTACAAGAAGTTCTACGCCATTGTTATCTCATGGTATTCATGATAATCAGCCGACATTTATCACCAGTATGACTAACTATATGAATTCTAGTTTGCCATCAAATTCTACATCTTTACTAGCTCCATTTAATACATTTTCTCAGTCGTCATTTAATCCACAATTGTTTGATCACAATTCTGGATTATCATCTACATCTTCTCAAGAACATAACGGACTAGATAGTGGAAGAAATAATGTAGGAATACGTGGAAGATATCACTTACGCTTGGCCTTATCACCAACCTTTCGTCGACGTAAAGTTACTGTGAACCGAGATGAAAAACGTCTACTTAAACAAGCAGAAATGACATTTAATGAAATGGGCGATTCACGTGCAGTATTGGAAATTGCCTTTGAAGGTGAAGTAGGATTTGGTCTTGGTCCAACACTAGAATTTTATACATTAATAAGTCGTTTGTTAATGAAATCCAACTTAAATCTTTGGCATGGTTGTGATTCTACTTCAGATGGATATCTGATTGCTCCAGCGCCTGGACTTTATCCACGTCCATTTTCTCGACAAACTAAATCTTCAGTTATACGGGAGGTAATTTGTCTCTTTTCTATATAACAATTGATTGATAATCAAAGTGGTAGTTCTGAAAATCATTAGCCTTATCTAGTCTTTGTATACATTAGGCTTACATAAAATGCTTCACGTTTTATTCCTTTTCATGTCGCATTGAAATAAACTCTTTTAAAGTTTTTATAACGGTTCTCTGCTGTTCTTACTTCCTTACTTACTTTCCGAAAATAAATTAAATAAGTTTACGAGAAGTTGTCGCCTAAACTTATCACTACCATTGGTGTTTCTCAGGGATGATCATTTTAATGGAGCAGTGAGTTAGTGATTTAAATCATTTGACTTTGAACCATTAAATCCCAAGTTTTAGTCTCATCTCATACGTCAATTTGATTATCCAAGTAGTATTACTAGCCCTCGCATAAGAATTGTGGCTTAAATTTTAGTAACCGAATCCGTACTTAATAAATCTGTTATTTCATATTTCGCTTCACTATGTTTAATCTGTCCTATTACATATACACAAGTTGAAACAATAGCATTGACGATAGTTACACAGCAAATCACTGGAGATGAAACATTTGAAAAATTTTAAAATCCATCTTTCATTCATTATTCAAATACAAGAAATTTCACTCATTAACCATTGAACTAACTTGCTTAGATATGTCATATCAAGCCTGATAGTGGTTACTAACGTTCCTGTATATGGACAGAAAGCTGTACTGACATTTTTCACTGAAAGGATATCTAAATATTTACCAAAGAAACAACGATGTTATTTTCATTATTGACTACTTTGAAACATTGATTTTAATCAGATTCACGATGAAATTACGGTGTTTCTGTGTACCGTTCTGTATTCACTTATTCTCTTATTTTCGTGCATTGAACAGGATAATTTGCATGTATTTGAAACACTACATGTGGTCTTTTTTATATTTCTCTAAGTATTTAATACTTCTTCTCATAAAGTTTTTTTTTAATGTTATTCTTATTATTAGGTTTGTGGGAAATTTAATTTTCTTGGTCGATTATTGGCTAGAGCATTGTTAGATTGGCGACGATTAGATTTACCTTTTTCACCAGCATTTTTCAAATGGTTTTTCGCACCTACTGCACATGATTCTGTTCAGAAAGGTTATATTTTACCAAGTGATATATCTCTAATTGATCCAGACTTAGGTCGACATATAAGACAATTAACAGAATTGGTTAATCGTCGTCAAGCTTTATGTCATAAATTATCAAATTTGGATTCTTCAAATCTCTCATCATCTGCTTCATTAGGAGCTGTTCATTTAAACAATACAACTAATAATAGTAAAGGTGTACATAATCATACACAAAAATTGGATTCAATTAAAGCTTCTTTAAACATGTTAGATGATGAAATTGATGATTTATGCTTAAATTTCACACTTCCAGGTTACGAGGTAAGAAGAAAAAAAATTTGTCAATTATTTTTCTTATTTGTAAATTTAATTATTAATGATTAGTAGAATAAATAAAAAAAATTTGTTTAAATGATAATTTCATATCTAATAAAATACATCAATCACTTTCTGTAATTTAAGTCATAGGAATTTTGTTTTGCATTCTGTAGTCATTAAAAAAAACGTACGTCAATAAAGTGTGTATTTCATTGCTTAAACTGTTAATTTATAGTTAAGTTTCTCATAAATTCATACTTGAAAATTAATTCAGATGTTAAAAAACTATGTCTTCTATTAAACGGACAACATGTTTTGTTATGTTTCAATGCAATTTTTGATATATTATACATTTTTTGCAAAATAATTCTTTCAATACACAGAGAGCATAATGTTTAAAATAGGTTACAACGGTTCATTTGTATTATATCTGTAATCTTATCATTATCGAATATCAATTAATAATTAATTTAACTCATTTATATTTCTCAGTATGTTTTGTATGTTTTGTATTTTTTTTTTACACTGATCAACTAACAACTGCTGCTCAAAAGTTCGACACAATGATGAAACACAATAAATCATCATTATTCAATGACTGAAAAAAATTCTAACAACATTGACTTTCGTACTGAGTGTTTTTTTGTTGTTGTTGTTGTTGATATTATGAACCAATTGAACAATACAGCAAACGTATATGTTTATATCTTGAACTGAATATAGTTTTGACTGTTACTGATAAAGTTCATAATCTATAAACAACACGACACAAGTATACAGTGTTCTAAGTTGTCACATTTAATAGCAATGCGATAAAAGTGGAATAACATGCCGCGAAGATCGAATAAGTCGGTAGCAAAAAAAAAAGAAAAACTAACCTGAAAACGTAGTCATGTATGTATATGACGATTATCTTATCAATTTGTGAGTCAGAAAGTCTCACATCATCTTTCTGTGTGACCAAAAATCAAAAACCACACTCATACTCTATCTAGTTCAAGATTTATAGTCAATAGTAGTTCCTCTGTTGTGTTTCATTTCAATATTCTTTATTATTAAAAACTAAAGACATAAAAATATTGATATTCTCACGTGACTTTTTTGGGATTGTTTCTTTCTATCACTTATTGTTCTATCTTATCTCTGTCGTTATTGTTTCAAAAGTGTCATTAGTAAATTTCAATTACCTGATTTGTGTATATGTGTAAATTAATGATAAATAATTAACAATAGAGTTATGGTATAGTCAATCCATCACACTGCTTTTATTCTTTTTATTCTTCTTGGCTTTTAACTAAAGGATCACGGGATCATATTCCATTTAATCTACAAGTGTTTGAACGGCTTAAATACTTAAATTCTCTTTCAGTTTTAAGCTATTAATTAGTCCCATTATAATATGTGTGCCACTAAAACTTAGCAGTTAATTTAAATATTATATTTGACACAACACTTAAATATTATTGATTTGTTAGTGTACCATGTTTCTGTTGTGTTTTAAACTAGAAAAATACAGTTAGTTATCCAATGAATGACACGTGGCTTTCGAAAGTTTTCCAGTTGTTGCTTTTTTCACACAGTAATGCAAATAAGATAGTTAACTTAACTCTACCTTATTATAATCTATAACAAATTATAAACCAATAGCGATTAAATTCAGTATTTTTTTTTCTCTGTCAGTCCATAATGTGTCACTGTTCAACTGTTATACATTGTATAGATTTACAGAAATTCCATGAGATGTAAATAAATGAGAAAGTTTTTTCAGCTTTCGTTTTTGAACGATATTAGGACATTTGTTTGTTTTAAATTGGAAATTTTTTCTAACGATTTGTGAATATGTGATTTTTATTGATTTCATACTTTTTGTCCGTCAATGTATCACATAACCAAGGTTACTTTTTCCATTGTTTGTTATTTTTTTTAAAGGTTGAATTAATTAAAAATGGTGCACATACTAACGTTACAGGTTCGAATTTAAGTTGTTACCTTCGTTTAGTTGCTCATTGGTTAGTTATTGAAGGTGTAAGTCGTCAAATGGAAGCAGTTTTAAAAGGTTTCGACTCGGTTCTACCTAATGTTCGATCACGGCTAACTACATTATTTCAACCAGATGAAATGGAGAATTTATTTTGTGGTGAATCATCACCTAGATTTAATTCTTTTTCAATTAGTCCAACTGGGGAAATGAAATCGATGCAATTATTAGATAAAAATTATTCAATGCCAGATGAAGAAGGTTGGGATGTACAAAGTTTAACTCAATCATGTTGTTGTGACCATGGCTATACTCCACAATCACGAGCCATTCGTTTTCTATTTGAAATTATGTCTGAATTCACCGCAGAACAACGACGGTTATTTGTACAGTTTGTTACTGGCAGTCCTCGTTTACCAGTTGGTGGTAAGTTTAATTCATTTACTAGTTTATTTTTATGAATTGAACTTCATTTCTAAATCATATTGATCCATGATATCATGGATTTGAAGCCCCTCTGGGCCTACTGTCAGTCCCAAGCTCGGATAAAGGAGTAGGGTTAGCGACCCCATACCGTAGGAAAATAACTCGCTAAACAAACAAACCAGAAAAATTAGTTCAAACCATTTAAACTCTGTCCTGGGAGTTAGAAGGTATTCATTTACAACAGTTATGAGTCTCATGATGGGAGCCGAGTTTCTTCAGAAGTCATAAGCCCGATGCCTCTTTTGACAATCAGAGCAACCATTAATTTAGGTACATAGAATGTTCGTACAACGTTGGAGATCGGGAGAGTTATCCAAGTTTCTGTTGAAATGAAAAGATACAACCTAGTGGTACTTGGAATCAGTAAGAACCCAGAGAGTTGATATAGCCTCAGATCATCACTTCCTGATCGCCAAGATAAAACTGAAACTCAAGAAGCACTGGAAACTGGGGCGGCGAGCATCACAAACTTTTATTACGGGTTTTCTTCGGGATACTGACAAACTCGACGAGTTCAAGATAGCCCTCACTTATAGGTTATGAGCCTATCATAATCTACTCATTGGGGATGAAACAGCCATGGAGAACAACTAGAAAGAGATCAAGGAAGCAATCACTTCAACATTTCAGGAGGTTCTGGGTCACAAGAAGTTCTATCACAAGGAATGGATCTCTGTTGGTACTCTTGATAAAATTCAGGAAAGGAGGAACAAGAAGGCATCAGATAATATCAGCCAAACAACAGCAGGCACAAGCTAAATACACAGAAGCAAACAAGCGAGTGAAGATTAGCATCAAAGCCGACAGACGAAAATATGTGGAAGATCTAGCAATGACGGCGGAAAAGGCTGCAGGAGAAAGAAACTTGAGACAACTGTACGACATAACAAAGAAGCTCACTGGAAACTGTTGTAAACCGGAACGACCGGTGGAAAGCAAGGAAGGCAAAGTAATCAGCAATACTGGAGAACAACGAAACAGGTGGGTGGAGCACTTTAAGAAGCTTTTGAATCGGCCAGCCCCACTGAACCCCCCAACATCGAGCAGCATCTACAGACCTCCCAATCGATGTTGGCCCACAAAAAATCGAAGAGATCATTCGTATACACAAAATACTTCAGATCCGCTGGCCGGACAACAATAACCACTACCTAGTGAGGGAGAGAACAAACCTTATTTGAGTTACGGAAGAAGTCAGGTAGAAGCGCTGGAAATGGATAGGACACACATTGAGGAATGCACCTACCTCTGTCACAAGACAAGCCGTCATTTGGAATCGTCAAGGGCAAAGAAAAAAGGAAGACCAAGGAACATATTACGCTGAGGAATAGAGTCAGACATAAGCAGAATGGACAGCATAATTCGAAGAATGCTGGTCGGAGGCCTATTCTCCATTTGGGATAACAAGCGTCAGTAAAGAAACAGATGGATATTCAAAAGCTTTTGTGTCATAATTCTTTTTATTCATTACCACTTGTATTTTTCTTGTGATTATTATATTTTTGCATTTTTGAAGTGATTGTAGAGCTCTCAATTCTTCTTTTGAAATTTCAGATGTAACTAGTTTTTGTTTAGTAAAAATATAGAACTTTTTTGTCATAGTTAATGAGACTTTTTCTAGTAATTGTTCAGTTAGTGGTTTTATGATTCCTAGAATCCCAAGTAGCTTTTGATGTCAGTTGGAATTCGATACTTTTTTCAGTAAAATAATTTCACGGATGCTTAGATTTATGTTTGAGAGATTATCAACAACTGTTTGACCATTCGAACTAGGTTTACTTTCTTACAATTTAATAATTCCTATTGTGAATATTATTAATTTAATGAGACAATTTATTGTTAAGTAGTATTTTGAATGACTTAACATTGATTGCTGTCATAGTTTTACCATGCCGCCATAGTACAACAGAAGAACTCTAGAATTAAAGCATTCTACAGAACAACTAACACCTTTCAATTTGGTTTAGTTTGTATAAATGATGAAATCTGCTTTATGTCGACGCAGAACTGTATCCTTATGTTAAAATCATCTTGTGAAAGCTTGACTTGATCCATACAACATCTAAGGTACGTGGAAAAACTGTCTTATAAGACTAAATTAAAGCAGCACTAGATATTAAAAAATCGAAATATTTCAAATAATTCTTCCAACTACAAAGTAAGTCAAGTAGCTGAAGCTTTGTATATATTCCTAAATCCTACAGTCTTTAATAGAAAAAAAGGACTTACCACCTATCGGAGCTACCGTATCTAACTAATTTCATGGTTATGTCGCACTACTATCACATATACAAATTCAACTCTATCTTACAACATTACAAATGTTACATTTTTCTCAACCATTAACACATACAAATACACCAGTATGTCGCATTAAATCACCTTGACCGAAATGACATGACATTGACACTTGGTCAAACCTAGTTTTAATTGTTTTTATCTTGTCCTTTTGTACTATTTACCTTCAAGTTAATTTAATTTGTTTATGTATTTATTCTCTGAATAAATGGCTTATACTGAATTACAAAGCCTTAGAAATGTTGATTTCTCTATTCATTTAAGATATTACAAATATCGAAACAATTATCTACCTAATAGTCGATTTATTTGAAATTATCAATCACAACCTTGAAAATATCATGAATATTATTATTAATTGTGCACTTTCTCTTCCTTTGATTCTCTTTCATTTCACAGGTTTTCGTGCATTAAAGCCTCCATTGAAAATTGTAATGAAACGTGAAACAGGTGAAAATGCTGACAATCATTTACCTTCTGTGATGACATGTCAAAATTATTTAAAACTTCCAGATTATTCATCGAAAGCATTGATGCTTTCTAAATTGTTATATGCAATCAATGAAGGTCAAAATGCCTTTCATCTTTCATAATTGTTTTATGCGCATATAATGTATAAATTGTAATACGAATAACAATGTTTCAATATTGTCATTAATGAATGAATGAATTAATTAATTACTACTATTGTTATCATTATTAACTATTATTCATTAATACTGTTGTTATTATGATCGTCGGCTTCTTTTTTTTTACTAATGAACTGTAAACTGTACTATAAAGCCTTTTTTTAACTGGAAATCTTCTAATCAAACTGTGTAACAGTAATATAGACACATGTACACAGTTAGGAAATACACTGGTTTCCCTAATACTACTGCTACTTCTACTACTACTACTACTAAAAGCCCATTTTCAATCAATTTGCATTAGTGACAGTAAGCAGTTTCTACTGTGATTCTTGTTACTTAATTATATCTTTTTTCTCCTCTCTATGTATACATACATACACATGTTTATGATATATATATATATGCATGTATACTGTACATGCATATATCTATTCTCTCTGGCATATAATTATTTATTGAACACAACATTTTTCATTCAACAAATCAAATGGAACTTAAACAACTAACTTCACTTGGTTTTTTTTTAAGAAAAATATTCTCCTGTTTTCTTAACGAGGATGCTTTTTTCATTTATTATTCTCTACGCTACAATTGTTTATTCTTCCTTGATATTGATTTATTTATTTATTAGTTACTCTTTTTCTTTCTTGTTTTCTTTTTTCGGTGTTCTACATTGTGTTCACGTCTTCTTCTTCTTGTTGTGTTTGTTATACATTAATTTTCTTGAACTAATTAACTAACTATCATATTAGACCAATAGTTATTGATATGGAAAAAAAAACACAAACATACAAATGAAATTAGTGATATTCACATTTTGTTCTCCTTATTCGTTCTTTTTTTTTGTTTTTATTCATTGTTTACTTTTTCAATTTTTGTTAATTCATCATATCAAATTGTTTTACAAATTCTATCTCTCTACTCTATGTCAATAAGTATTTCTAATTCTGTTTTGATCATCATTACATTTTTGTTTGTTTTGTTTTGTTTTTTTGATGAATTGGCAAAGTAGGTTCATTTTGAATGAACATAATGATAATGATGATGAGTCTTGTGGTTTACGTACGTACTGTTGTGTAATGATGATACAATTTCTTCAAAACGCCAATCTATCACGAAACATCATCAATATGCATGTGCATATGCATATGACATTAGTTTTACAAGTATATCAGTGCATTTTCCCATTAATTCAAATATGTCAGTAGTGTTGTTGTTGTATGTAATATAATGACGAATCATTGGATGAAATAATAATACTACTAATCCATTTAGTAAATATATTTATGCCTTTGTACATGCTTGTTGCTGTCATTATTATTATTGTCACAATTATTCTGCTTATCCTTTTTTCTCTCTCTCTCTCTCTTTCATATCTGGAATATAAAAAGGAAACGTTTTGTGTGTTAAATTGTGAAAAGCATATATGCTTTTCTTTTCTTATTTTTTTCCCTCAGCTAAAATCAATACTGACGGACTTTTAGTGATTGGATTATGTTTTGTTTCTAACCGTGTTCACGTTTGTTTTTTTTTATTTTCTTTAACCCTGTTTTGTTTTTTCTTTTCCATTATTGAAAAGTAAACAGAAATAAATAAAAGCACTTGTTCATTAATGTTAACGTGTATCTTGTTTTGTAGTAGAAAAAAAAAAGGCAGTAAAAGAAGCGATAACTAATTGTAATTCTTTGTAATAAAAAAATCCATCTGTAATTGATTGATTGTAATAATGAATAATTATTGCATTTTCTTCACAATTTATCTTCAGTGAAATGTGCGTTCATGGGTTTATTATTATTATTATTATCATTATTATTTTTTTGACGAATATATTTATTTGTTTTAAATATGTGTATGATAGCTACTTTTATGCTACCTTAGTCTATTCATGTAAGCTTGTATGGTTGCGAACAATGATTATCACATCATGTCTGCCTGAATCCAACTATTAACATTCAAAGACAACATCTGGTTTGTGACTATGAAAAATGACTGTTCAACAAAAATGCAATTCCAAATATTTCCTTGATCTGTGTGAAATTACAACAAACTAATTATTAAAAGTATGTATATTCATTGGTGTATAGAGTTAGCTGAATCAACTGTTCATAGTTATTTTGTTCAAAACCACATAACAGTGTGGAACACAACTTGTGATAAATAGGCGGCTTCTGATTCATCAATCAAGTTTGAAATTTTCCTGGGTTAAACCACTACTCATCACCAGTGTAATTATTATCTGTTATGTTGATATACAAAACTATTCTGATGCTATCAGTACTAGTTGTAAATATATTGATATCTTTTGTGCAAAAGATAATTTGTAATCGTATGTGATTACTTGAAAGATAATTGTATATTACAAGTTAATATTTTAGTTTGTTGTAGTATACTTTATCTAAGTAACTAATAACAACGAATACTGTTCTATGGTGTTATGAAACTGAAGAAAAGCCATGGACTTAGCTTTCGCTCTAGTTGATACTCGTCAAGAAGATGTATCTGCAATTTTCAATGAATTGATCCTATCCATGGGATATAGAAAACAGTTTGGTCGATGGAATTTAATCATCGTTATGGAATATGTACAAAACTGACATTGGTTATGACTTAGTGGTTAATTCAGTCAGTATATTGTATGGTGTCTAATTGATCTCATGTTATACTTCGGGTTTTATAAATTGCTTTTAGCCTGAAGTTATTTATTTAATTTTAATAAGAAAAAAAATAATTTAATCTAATTTGTTTTTGTATGTCTAAAAAAATCAGTTGTAAATAAATCGAATAGTTGTCATGAGTTAAGATGCTACCATCTAATCACATTCCCAAAAACATTCAAGTACTTTTAACAGAACTGGACATACTTTAAAAAAATGTTGTGCTTTTTTTAATGGAGATTAGTGAAGGGAGAGTTAATAATTTATTATTAGGACACTACTCATTAATGCTATAACCCGAATCTAGCTAAACAAATTAAAATGCGTACTCAAAAATCAATGAAACACACTATTCTCCAAATGAACATTTACTGCGCTACTGAAAAATCATCTTGCCAAGTGTATTAGAATCGGTCTAGGATGCTAATCCTTATGAAATTACGTAGAAGTTAATGCCTAAACTGCTTTTGAAATCTTTTCTCATTAAAACTAGGCTACATTTCACAGAACTTACCATAAAATGGCTGTCAAGCTCTTGTTGGTCAATGATGATGACACTCCAGTTGGAATTAGTATGTGCCGAACATCGAAAATACTTCAAGATGATTGATAAATCACCAAATAATAGCAATCAATTGGTGTTATCGTCAAAATAACATTTAGATTTTTTTTATTCAAAAACTAAAGAAGGATTTATGCATAGTTTCTTCTAAAATACTGAATTCCATCATGTGATCATTAATGTATCAAGCAGCGTAAATGAATGTGTTAATTTACATAATATTCTATGCATCTTGGTCTCTTGATAAAATTGAATAAAGTGAGAACAATATTAATTCATTTTATTTCAATGTCTATGATCATTTGCAAACAGCCTAAATTTACATTACTAACATTAATCATTAAAAATTCTTATCGCCTAACAGAATCAGTGAAATTTAGTTTCAAATGATATTAGAAACAAGAGTTGATAAGATATTCAACATAATAGCTAAGATTAATTAATATTTCTATGTTGATGATGAGGTCACAGAACGAAGGGGTTTGTGGCGATGGCTATTCTCTATTTTATCTAAACTACCTATACGTGCTTGCCTTGATCACCGTCACCAGATAACGCCCAACTGTGTATAAAATTCAAAAGACGAATTACAAAGCATTGGTGACGTTTATTTTCGCAACACACCGATCACAAAACAACAGGCATAGGAAGCAATACGCAAAGGAATAGGATTAAAGCATACACACGAATATATAGGAGAATGAATGAGTCACTAAATTATTTAAACCAGTAAAAAAAATATGTGAGTAGGCTATGGCCAATGTTCCAGCGTAAATGCTCATGCAAACGCAACAATAATAGCAGTACAAAGTTATAGGCAAGTTGTTTTTGTTCCGGTGACGCTGTGTTAAATAAAATCATAAAAGAGCTTAACTAAAACGTAAACAAACTTAAATATATGTGATGTGCTATAGACTGATGTTATAATTGATAATAAGTAGACAATAAGTAATACAGACGAGTGGCAATCAATGCACCCAATTTACATAAAGTTAACGTCGTCAGTAAATGTCAGCGTTTTCTTTTGAATCTATAAAGTGCCACAAAAAAAGCAATACAATTGACGTGTATTAAAATAATATCCCCTTTGTATTCTTTGGATGATTTATTTGTATGCGCGTTTGTATAGGTTTAGTATATATAGATTTTCAAGTATTCAATTCTTTACGATTATTGTACGCTAGATACAATCCATTGGGTATGGTTGAATTAATATGAGTCAGTATAGTATATTTAACCAGTAATCTTAATCCCTGATGATGTGACTGATTCATTAGTTTAGCCATTTATCCATCACCTAGTAAACCGAAAGTTTTCACGCCAGTAAATATAGTTCGAAACATATGAATCTGTGCATAGCGAAATAGTTGCATTATCAATTCTATGTAAGCTGTATAGTTTCGTGAGAATGTAGAAAACTTCGTGATTAGAGAGAAATACAAAGCAAATCATAATGGTGCGGATTCCATCAGCTAATATATATTTTTGACTTATAAATTATAATTACACTGACTACTTAAAATATGAGAGAAGTGAAAAATTATCTTGTCCTGGCGTTGGATCTTTAAGTGTGAGCACTCACTACTTCTACCGAAGATTGAAAGTGGGGCTTTAATGTCTAGTAGTGAACGCCTAACCATTAACATCATTGGGTTGGTGTTATTATTTCAGTCTCAACATTTCGCTCTTCTTTATTTTTACGTTTAGACTTTTCCTTCTTGAATGACTCAAATCCTTCTTCTTTTCCTCAAGAAGTCTTTGCATTTTAGTTTATTTTCCTTGATGTTATGAAATATTATAAATTTCCATATTCCAAGTTAGAAAAATACGCATAGGTGAACAGTACTGGTTTCAATTAAGTTATCATCAAGTTTTACTCTAATAAACAGTATTATTTATACGCAACAATAAACATTTAAAATCAACCACGCATCTGATGAGGCCATGACAACAATGATACAGATTATGTAACTAAACATAATCAGCGACAATTATAAATTGATGATGTGATGTTAAGTGTACTAGTTTTCTAATATTTTAGCTGTCTAATTAGTTTAACACTTCTTACTTAGTAATTGTAATTGCTATTGTATTTCCAAGTGATCGATCACTTGTTAGTGACTAATGTCAAGTCCTTCTTAGTTCTGGTCAAATTCTATTGATCAAGCTACTAATCTAAGCGACTCGACATCACGTGCACCATGTTAGAGACATTATCACAGCAATCTAGGTCGATTACTTCGAACCACTATTTTAAATCGATTTTGTTGAATATTATTTCAAAGTCTATTTTTACAAGTCTTCGACTGACTTTTTATTATGAAATATTGATTCGAGCGTTTATTATTCTTATGACTACTAGTAAGTACACTTGTCATCACACTATCAATCTTTACTTTTTACTGATCATGTTTATTTATGTATTACGTTTAGTTGCCGTTATTGACTCCTAAACTAGCTAGGTTGGTTTAGTGTCTACATTTTTCACTACCTAATTATTGCTGTATAGTAGAGTCAAGCCTAATGAGATCTAACTGAAACCTATACTGCTCGCCTATATGTTAGGTTCGTCACTGGGTATGGTTGAAACTATTACGCGTTCACCATAGTCGATAAAGGTGAACGAGATAATGAACCAGCGTCCAGGTAGGCTACCCTGATCCAATGGCTAACCAAAAGTCTTGATATAGCGTACAAAATATATTCTTCAAACACCCAGCAAGCATAATTCAATCAAGCACACAACTCTCGTTTATTTATACATCATAGAAGCGTTCTTGAGACAGTCACAAAAATAGCCCACTAAAATACACAGCAGCTAATCACAGCCTTGGATTTTCCTGGTAGGAAATGAAATCTCAAGGTCAACTGATCAGCTCATGCTCGCAAACATGAAATCCAAAATTAAGGCATTTATCAAGCGAGTTCTGAGGATCTAACGTTCCCAACATTATATGTATCATTCTAATTGTAAATCGTGTCAAGTTAATAAAATCTGTGCACTTTTACACAAGATATTTTTTTGATGTTATCATGTCAAGTTGTTGTAGAAAGAAATTTTTAATGTTGATTTATAATTTATAATAATTGTACCATTAAAATCTTTAACTACTTTGCAGGAAATCAGTATTCGAATCTATCAATTTATCCATTGTATATTTCTATTTCTATCACTCAAACTTTTATTCTTATTGTTATCAATTGAATTATTATAATAGGGAAGATATAAGCAACAATAATAATGCTTGGTCATTATGTACTCGTTATCATTTCATGATTTTTTTTCCAGAAATTTGTATATTAACTTTTTACAACAAAGATTTACATGAATAACAAAGAAAAGCTTTTTAAAAGTATTCTTTATTTTATAATATTCATCAATCTTTGTTGTCTTCAACTGGTGATAAACAAGTTGACAATCATAGGTTGATTCAATCAATGTTACTTTCTACAGTCAACGCAAATAATCCAATACAATTTGGTATTCATAACATAAAGATTTTGTGGTAAACGTTTCATGGCATAGTACAATAGTTAAACCAATCAGTGAAAAGCAAATATCATAATTTCGATATGATCAAGACAATACAGATCACAGTTGTTTAGTATAATTATGGAGAATCTTAGCTGGTCACTAATGAGTTATCGGGAGGAGCTTAAGTTCATAATGAAATACTTGTGTAATATTTTATCATTTCCATTGACTCGCGACCCCTTATGTTGATTCATGATAGAAACAATCTTGATATTCGACAAATGTGCGCGTAATCACTTTTTATTTTGGTTTTAAAAGTAATTTCATTTACTATTAATGATTACTATTGATAGACCATACAACTCACACGCTGTCAAATTTCCGATCAAAATACCAAAACACTTTATGATTGATTACAAGTACCGTTCTTTCTTTCACTATTCATTTAACTGAAACTGCTAAATAACCAAAGTAACGTAAAAGGCCATAACGTACCACAGTTAATAAATTTCTATAAATATAATAATTTTGATGCATAGTTTAATGCATTGACTACAATTTATGAACGAATGATAAATGTTAATAGCAACAAATAACAAGTCGTATAATATCTTACAATCAGAACTGAATAAATATGACAGGATCGAGATTGTTGATAACTATACCAGAATGTATACAAATTAATTTTGAAATAATAGCCACTTAAAATTTATGTTACTCTTATTCTTTCTTCCCTCTCTAACATTACAAATCAAATAGTCGTTGATCAAAATAAACTTATTGTTTGTTATGCTTAAATATTGTCAATATATTTTATTTAGACCTTCGAAAAAGATTCATGTAACATGAAATTGCAGTGAATAAATCTCAATTCTCAGTAGAATAGTTAGCACATTTTGCCTGCAGCCTCTGCAGCAGTAGGTCTCAACATCCACAAGGGAAAAAGTAAGATCAGTAGATACAACACAACATGCACCAATGAGATCACCCTTGACGGAGAAGCATTGGAAGATGTGGAAAACTTTAG